AGTCTGTACTTAACTACGTAATTTCACTAAAAAAAATGCAACATTTTAACCCGGTTTTGGTAGATTTTTACGTGACTAACATAAGGCTACTGTGGAAGTGCCCATTTCGGTTACAACGACTTTCGTTTATAACGACACTATTTTTAGGTCCCTTTGATGACGTTATAACCAAGTTCTACTGTATATGGAAGAATATTAAGATCTCAGAGGAGCATGATGGGAGGGTGTGGGCATGGTTCAATTGACAACGGAGTTCTTATTTTTTTTTCCTTGGCACTACAGCCCCAGTGGGCCTAGGCCTACCTCCATGAAATTCTCCGTTCACTTCGGTTTTTCTAGATATTACACATTCGGTAGGACTCCTTTGGCGGGTGATCAGCTCGTCGCAAGGCCTCTACCTATACACAAACATAGAAAAACGCACACACACAAACTAAACATCCATGCCCTGAGTGGGATTCGAACCCACGATCCCGATTTCCAAGCGAGCGAAGACAGTACATGCCTTAGACCGCTCGGCTACCGTGACCGGCACGGAGTTCTTATGCTGTGTCTGAAAGATGCTTTGGGGTTGCATCATCATTAGGAAGAAACTAGATCCTGTTCTCAAAGTACAATGGGATCAGACGTCACCTCTCTTTCATAAGTTATGTACTCAAGCTACGGCGAATCTTCAGAGATGTTAGTTGTTTCTTAGTTTCTTGGGGGTGGGGTGAAACTGAGTCCACTCGGTACGTCGGCAACTTCTGGCCTATTGCACCAGTCCCGGATGTTAGATGATGAATGTGGAGCAATTGGTGGGATGAGAATTGGCAGTGGAAATGGAAGTACTCGGAGAAAACCTGTCCCAGTGCCACTTTGTCCATCACAAATTCTACATGACTTGACCTGGGCTTGAAACCGGACCGCCGTGGTGGGAAGCCGGCGAGTAACCGCCTGAGTTATGGCATGGCCCAGACGTGATTCAGTCTAAGTATATGAATGTTGTAAAATGCCTCCAGGATCCACAAAATGCCGATAATTTCTTGACTAACTGAATAAATTCTGGCTTCTCATGAAGGATTATACTTCACGCGTTAATCAGTTCGTTAGCGAAGACTAAATGTATGAAAATTCTTTGGCTTAAAATATTTCATTAGGAGGCCGCTAAAATTACTTATTTTTAAAGAAAATTAAAGGGAACCAAACCAAAGGATTAACAAAATTATTTAATAGTTGTAGCAGTTTTATGAACGCGACTATCACGGTAATTGGGGGTGTAGTGCATGTGCTAGATGGATGTGACTGATCAGCTCCACGCTCCGACTGTTGTACCCTTGGAGAAGAGTTACTGGTACCAGTCAATACGAGGCTGGGTATTTCCCTCTGATTCTTTTCTGTAAATGACCAACCGCAGAAATGCAGAGTCCGCACTGAAATACGAACAACCTACAGCCTAACACCGCTCTTTTCCAACCCGCCTTTGTTTTATCAGCTCGGTCGGAATGGTGCTATCCCTGCTACACCTGGACACTGCAAGTTCTCACAGTTCGAAATGTTAGTGTAGGTACGGGAAACCAATTGGGTCGGTTAGCATGGGACTCAGGGTAGGGGTATTCTGGGAGTTATCCAACCTGTTCTCCAAACCACATTGTTAATTTACTGTATGCTTATGCTTTAAATTATAACATGTTACTCGATCTGCAAACTGGGCCTTGGAGCGTGCAAGGATCAAGTCCCTACACTTCAGAATTGGATGAAAGTCTCTTTTTATGGAATGGCTTGCACACCCCACGCCGGGAATTCCAAAGAATTCGAATTCTCCATGGCGCGGACATGTACAAGTCATTCCATCTTCCGTAAGGAAGTTTGAACGAGGCAACTCAATCATAATGGCCCTCATTCACAGGCAATTTTAACGAGTTCTGACCTGTCCTTCTCATTGACTTTTGTAGGCGCGTCCGGTTTCCTGTACCCGAGTTAAATTTATGACTGCTCGTAAATGTCAGAACTCCGGACTTATTGGTCCTGCCAGAATCTAGAAATTTCAACATAAACACCGTATTGCACGTCCCAGACAATGAAATAGGATATTATAGATCACAATAAAGTTCCAGTAATATCGAAACATAAGACTTTTGAAGTTAAGATTACCGGGAATTAATTATAAATAAAGTTAATCGTCATTTATAATCATCCAAATAAATAAGGACTAAGACTGAACAGCGTCAAACTCATATACACGTCGCTGAGCTGGACGGGTTTTGTTACACGTGTAAATGTTACGAGGACTTTTTTACACCGGTCAGCCAAGAATTTCAAGGACACTGTTAATCGTCGAAGCCACGGGTCATGCTTCTTCCTAGAACGTGACTATCTTGAGCTTCTTCACATGTTTCCTCAGTCCATCCAGGAAAATCGGCATAGTACCTTAAATTAGATAATTAACGCTTCTTACTATCTATCTATCTATCTGTCTATCTATCTATCTATCTATCTATCTATCTATCTATCTATCTACAGCTCTTTTGTTGGACCTTTGCCGCTTTTTCAGTTTATTAATCTATATACAATAGGTAGGACTCCTTGGACGGGAGATCAGCCCTTCACAAGGCCGCTACCTAAACACAGAATAAAAGGAAACAGACATCCATGCCTAGAATGAGATTCGAGCCCACGATTCCAGGGTTGGAGCGGGCGAAGACGGTTCATGCCTTAGACCACGGGGTCACTGGAATCGGCAGGTCTTCTTGCTGTATTCTTAAAATGAATTTAATCCCCCGTGTGGAGGCGGGTTCGAATACCTCCACCGTGACCCTGCGAGTCGTAGGAGGCGACGAAAAGGGAAGTCTCAGATCTGAGACAGTAAAATATGGTCGCGAGTCGCAAGGGACTCAGACCCGAGAAAGACTGCGCTGCCAAGGACCAGCAGCATGTAAAAAAGACAGACCCGTCCTCTCGTTAGAGAGGGTGCCCCACAAAAACAAGACCGTAACTGTCAAACAGTAATAAATACCTGTTCATGAGCCCCAGATGGGGTTCGATGCAAGGACTTACTGACTGACTGACCGTCAGTCGCAATGTGAATTAACAGCGACAAAATGGAGAGTATGGGATGGTTCAGCAGTTGCGAGTACAAGAACGAGAATGGAGCGCATTGGAACCAGGAGTACAGAAGAGTACAAGAGGTCTGCCTGTGAGGATTCACGTATAGAGTGCGTGCTGTAGTGCAGTGATATTGGGAGTGTGTGATTCAGTGAGACTTTTATAGTTCCCGTGAAAACTGCTGCAGATAGAGTAAAGAGATCAGGGTGTAGTGACTGTAAATTGCGTAAATCAGTAATAGTGTTATAATCAATTGCAGTTACGACCTGTAGGTTGTAAATAAAACCAATTACCAATCCAAACCCGTCTCTCAGTCGCCCAAACACGTTACAATGCCTTAGACCGTGCGACAACTGCGATCAGCGCCTGAAGGACTAGGCCTCTTTATTTATGCAGCCCAATGACAGGGTGGCCCAGTTATTCCCCCCCCCCCAGGCACTGGGTATATCCTCTCTTTGAAATACTCAGAATTTATAAGAATATTAAGAAGACCGCCTCTGTGGTGTAGTGGTCAGAGTTCCTGGATACAGATCCAGAGGTCCGGGTTCGATTCCCGGCGCTACCAGATTCTTTCGGAGAAGTAGTCGGTCTGGAACGGGATCCACTCAGTCTCGTGAGGATACTTGAGGAGCTATTTCAAGGAAGTAGCGTCTCCGGTCTAGAAAACCGAAATTAACGGCCATGGGGATTCGTTGCGCTGACCACGCGACACCCTCTATCCGCTAAAGTTTGGATCAACTTCACCGACAAGCGGCGGTCGCTCTGTCGTTATAGTTCGCTTGCGGACTCAAATCACGGAGTTTTTTTATTAAGAAGAAATAGAAAACAAAATCATATTACGTTTTGACTAAGAATTATATAAAAGAGTGTGAGGTAATGCAATGTTGTGTCCAAATTCTGAACCAGTGTCACGGAATGTCCCTTCTTCTTCTTTCACCACAGCAATCTTCTTAATTCGTGCAGTCACTACAGTGCCTTAAGACTTCCAACATGGCGGATCTGCACAGATATCCTCACCTGGTTGGTTCGTCGAAAAACATAACCGGAGGGTTGGTCAGGAGCTCCTGCCCGATGGACAGCCTCTTCTTCTCTCCGCCAGACAGCTTCCCTACCCGCGTTTCCGCTGCCTTCCTCAGGCCCAACAGCTCCAAAATATCATTTATCTGCCACAACAAAAATGGACATGTAATTATGTTTCTCATAGTCTGCACACTACGCATGTGCAGGGACAACAGAGCTGAAACACATAGGATGAAAGGTTATGTACTGGATTTATTTCACTTTTGTTCATTATTATTATTATTATTATTATTATTATTATTATTATTATTATTAACTCACTTTCCTTATTCTAAAAAATGAAAAGAAGTTTATGAGATCACCTTGCAGTCTGTCTCTCTCTATATCCTTTCATGTCTGTCCATCTATCTGTGTATTCCCCCTAATTTTTATTAGGAGAAAATAACCTTCCTGTCTTCTTGTCTCCCTAATTTTTTTTAAATGCTTTTGAGATCACCTTACTGTCTGTGTATCCCCCTCCTTACTATTGCTAGGCAACGGCAACGGGTCTTTGCAGGTTATTACATGATATCAATATTTGTCTGTGTAGTCCCTAATTATTTCGTTTTCAGTACGGTCCGTGACGTATCAAAGTAAAGCAGGCTATTGTTCTTCACAGAACTTATTATTATTAATATCATTTAGCGGATAGAGGGTGTCGCGTGGTCAGTGTAACAAATTCCCACGGCCGTTAATTTCGGTTTCTAGACCGGCACTAACTTCGCTGACGAGCAACGGTCGCTCAGTCGGTATAGTTCGTTTGCGGACTAAAGTCACGGAGTTTGTTTCTTATTTTTATTATTATTGCATTGGTGGAATGATAACTGTCGGGGGAAGGGTGAGAAGGAAGTCCTCGGGGTAAGTCCCGTCTCAGTGACTATTTATCCACCACAAATCCCACGTACACTGCCGTGGTATTGAACCCGAATCTCTGCGATGAAAAGTCGACGACTGACAGCCTGATCTCTGGGAGAGCCGTAAATTCATTAGGCTCAGAACAAGGCTCGGTGCTTTTGTGAACGTGGTAATGAATAATGTTGATTTCTATTGTATGATACAGAGTAGTCTGGTAGTTTCGAAGGAAATTTTTGCCTCTGTCTTCAGGGAAGTGACGTGAGTTAAGTGTAGAGAAAGTGGTTCTGATACTGGCTGAGAGGAGTGGAACTCGAGACCCAAAGTAACAAGAGTAAGGAGAGACGGGCCATTTTCAAGTGTAGATAAGTTGTGATAGCTAATGGCTGTGTGAGAGCCGTTTCGTGGTAGAAGGAAGCCAGTGGAGTCGGGCTAAGGAAACACTGGACCTCAACATTTACCAGAGCACATGGCGTCACATCCCAGATGACGACATCCCTTACAGTTACCTTCATCAGAACGTCAGATCTCGCGGTAATGGCACTTGGAGTTTCGTAAAAAGTGCTAACTCGCTTGACAAGCTGAGCGACAATCAGCCCTTCAAGAAGGTCTCGGCTCCATGGGGGTGAACATAAGAGCCCGTACCCCCCACCTTATATCATTAAAACTAAAAAACAAATTCCGTTGCCTGTAGTCCGTAAACGAACTATACCGACCTAGCGACCGTCGCTTGTCGGCGAAGTTAATGCCAACTTTAGCGGATAGAGGGTGTCACGTGGTCAGCGCAACGGATCCCCACGGCCGTTAATCTCGGTTTTGTAGACTGGCCCATAAAAACTATTTTTTTTATGTATTTCTTGGGTTGGGGTGAGACTGAGTCCACTTGGTACGTCGGCCACTAACTGGCCTGTTCTACCAGCCCCGGATGATAGATGATGATGATTGTGGAGCAATCTATCCGCCTGTCTGTACATGGCTGTACAGCCCTTGTGGTCCTTGGCCGCTTTCTCAGTATCTTAACCTATACACAACCGGTAGGACTCCTTGGACGGGATATCAGCTCGTCGCAAGGCCGCTACCTACACACAAAACAACACAAACACGGAATAAATACCCACAGGAATCCATGCCTCAAGTCTGATTCGAATCCACGATCCCAGTGTTCGAGCGGGCGAAGACGGTTCATGCCTTAGACCGCGCGGCCACTGTGACCGACGTGCGGAGCAGTCGGTGGAATGAAAATTTACAGAGGAAACTGTAGCACTCGGAAATAACCTGTCTCAGTGCCGCTTTGTCCACCATAAATCCCACATGACCTGACATGGGCCCGAAACCGGCGACTAACCACCTGGAAACAAATGTTGCAACGTTTGTGAGAGCGTACCATGTCATTTTTTTCCCGCGTTGTGACCTTGGCGTTTAGTTTGAAGCTGGCGGCGACTGCAAGAGTCTCTCTCGTGGTTAGGAGGTCCATGAGGTAGCAGTTCTGCGTGATGTAGCAGGATTCTCTGCGGAACTCTTCAGTGTTCCTCTCAACACCGTTCACGGTGATGTAACCAGTCACTCCACTACTCCTGTAAATAATTACAGAACATATGACAAGAGTCACGAGGCCACCACGGTGTGAAGGACGAATGTAGATAAGGCTCCACTTATTCTTGCTATGAACCGAATGCCATAATTTTGCAGTCGGCATTCCTGACCCGTATTCGAAACGTAAGTAACATGTACAGTCGCGTATAATTTAAAAAGTGTGTGGAGGGAATTCCCTACAAATATTTCTTGACTACGTAGTTCAACTAAGATACCAAGAGATGTCACATCTGTCAGGTACAGAAGGCTGGAGGGGAATTGCCTAGGCCTTCTTTGTACATACATTTTCTAAAATAAAAAAAAAAGATCTTAGAGGATAGAAATTTTCAACGCTTGGCGCCTCATAGGGGGGGAAACTGCCCCAGTTTCACTGAATCCACCCCCAGTCTCAATAAGAATTCACTTAGCAATGGAACCGGACTTCCGCGAAGAGAAGGCGGCCTCTAATCGCTATTTACGTGTAATCTGCAGCCTAGTGGTCAGAGTTCCTGGCTACAGATCCAGAGGTCCCGGGTTCGATTCCCGGCGATACCAGATTTTCTGAGAAGTAATGGGTCTGGAAGGGGGTCCACTCAGCCTCGTGAGGATAATTGAGGAGTATTTCAACGAAATAGCGGCTCCGGTCTAGAAAACCGAAATTAACGGTAGTGGGGATTCGTTGCGCTGACCACGCAACACCCTCTACCCGGTAAAGTTGACACTTCGTCGACAAGCGGCGGTCGCTCTGTCGGTATAGTTCGCTTGCTGACTGAAGCCACGGAGTTTTTTCTATACACTTTAGTATATTTTTGTATTTTTCCAGAACTGACGTTTCTTTGAAACGAAATTGCTGTGTTTTTGTAAAATTCTCTTCTGTCATCAGAAATTCCACCAGTGTAACTATCAAGTAAAAATCATCATCATCATCATCAGCAGCAGCAACAGCATTTGTAAAAACAGTCCTAATTAAGCCATAGCTTTCCTTAGAAAATTCTATCATGTTTGCAGTTTGGTTTTCACTTCTTTACATTTCGCAATAATAAATTACTTACAGAGCAAGGGCGTCACCCTTAGCGTTCAACCCCCAAGCCTGGAGGACCAGATATCTGTATTTATGTCCCCCAGGAACAGGATGCTCAAGTTATATCCCCAGGCACCGGGTTTCCTTTGCGTCGCCCTTTGCGTCATGTCGCAGACATCGCCTGTTGACTGTTACGTGGCTTGACGCAGGAAGGTGTGCGACCTACCTTAGTGTTTAATTAGTTAAGCACAGGGGCAACTTTACTTTTTGCTGTTTATTAATCATTGTTTCTACATACTTCGTATGGGCCTGATCTTTTTCACAGCTCAAGGCCTCTCGAAGTCTAAACTGGACTTGAGGGGCAGACAAAATTTACTTCAATAAAAGCAAGTGACTGGCCAGACTGGTGACAACTCGGATAGCAATCAATATCTGCTGTGAGTTATGGCCCTGATGCTTGGGTGTCACTTTCGGGTGGCGACACATCCTATACTTGAATGTCAAATGAACCTGTCCAGGGTTTACTTGCACCTTACTTGATATTCCATTCGATTCAGAAACCACGCATAAATATTACTTAAATTTATACCGTCTTATGTGTACAATTTACATTTGATAGAACGGAGGACGTTAGCTCTGAGACAAACGTTAAAAAGGTGAAAGTAAGGGCACACTTAACAACCCCCAACATTATACTTCATCGCCCCCCGCCCCCTCCTGTTTTAACCTTTGTTACAATTTGAGAAAACCACTAAAATTTATATTCCTGTAACCGGTCGTGGAGGCCTATAGACTTATGAGACGTCGAGGCCCTCACGTTTTCTCTTGACAATCTCCTCACATATGATGACGAGGTTGTCAGCCTTATGCTCCGGCCGCCCTTTACCCCCAGGAATATTCCTGGTACTCCCGGTGATGTCACTGAATTTTCAATTGACCTAATCCTTCCAGCCTCACTATGGTCCTGGATTCGACTCAGCTTATAACAGAAATGAGTACCAGGAATCTTCCTGAGGCTAAAGATCGGCCGGCGTGTAAGGCTTACAAGCGCATCTCCATCTGGACTGGACCCCGTTCTAGATCCACTACTCAGAAAATCTGGTAGCTCCGGTAATCGAACCCGGACCTCTGGAATTTTAGCAACTGAAATGATGGCCTTAACTTGCTACGCGCAAACCATTCAAGTGCACTCAATGCTCGAAAAATAAACTGTAGGGTACTCACTTAAATCCTGAGAGTACGTTCAGGAGGGAGGATTTGCCTGCTCCTGAAGGCCCAAGGATTGCTGTTAGGCGTCCGGATCGGAACTCCCCATTTACACCTCGTAGAATCACTTTCGGCTGTTCCTGTCTTGCTGAAACTTAAACATGCACTGTGTGTACCCGGGGCTCACAATGTTAAACTGAACCTACCGTAACACACAGTTTAACCCCGAGAGAGAGAGAGTTAAGGAGCAATAGAATAATAGCTGAAAGGGGAAATTCATGGAACAACTCAGAAACACTTTATTTCGGGCAAAGGAAGAACGTCGTTGTTTTAGAGGGTTCCCAGGGTTCGCTCCCTTGCCCTTCTGATAAGGGTGGAGTGAAAGTGAAGGGGTTAGAATGCTTAGAAACAGTGGATAAGATCTAAGAAGTTTGTGACGATGGTACAGTAATATAAAGACGAGTATTATGTTTCTGGACACTATCCATCAATCTGTTTATTTTTCAAAACACAACGTTTCAGAGACTGGATTCTGTCCCCCTGTCTCCGGAGATAGGGACTAGCTCTAGGGATTGGGCCCAAATGAGTAAGTTCCACTTGAAGACAGAGACAGTATCCAGTCTCCGAAACGTTATGTTTTGAAATATAAACAGGACAGAGTTTTTAGATAAAAACAGGACGATGGGTAGTGTCCAGAAGCACAATATTAGTATTAGTATTAGAAACAGTGGTCTTGATAACTGTTTCGAATATCGGCCGTGTCGCGGATAATTCTGACAGGTGTTTTTCATAGTTTTCGTCAGTTCCTCCAAGCACATGTCGACATAATCTGAAATTGTACCTGAGACCTCCGTGTACTGCTTGTTACCGAACCATTATCCGATTTATAATCCCCTCATTCTGTGTTATCTAATCTAAAAGTGTTAAATAAAGTAAGAAAAAAAAATAAGTTCTCCTTTTTTAGGTTCAGGTGACCTCCTCTGCCTCCTGTCATCATGTAACATCTACTAACAGAATAAACTATATTTAATTCAGGATATCCAACTTCAGATCACTGAAGGGTCGCATTATACCGTAGGACAGGCGATCCCCAATTTTCTGATAAGGTGGCCTCCTAAAATTAACATAAAATTACGCGACAAGCCCAATGTTGGGAAATATTTGCGATATTAGAATGTAAAGCTATCCCTGTAACAGCCGTGGAGACCTATAGTTTTGTGAGACTTCGAGGCTCCCACATTTTCTAGAAAATCGGCTCACAGATGGCGGTGAGGTTGTCAGCCTTACGCGCCGGCTGCTCTTTACACCCAATGAAGATTCCTGGTACTTATTTCTATTGGAGGCTGAGTCGACCCCAGGGCGATGGTGTGGCCGGAAGGATTAGGTCAACTGGAAAATCCAGTGATCTCATCGGGACTCGAACCCGCGACCTTCCAGTTTGTAACATAGCGCCTCAACTAAGTACGCTTCCGCGTGCCCCTAGCAATTCCTCTATTGTTATAGGAACGGCAATTCTTCTATTATTGCCTCTGTATTCGTTTCCTAGAGAATGTGTTTAGTGACCCGTTGCCTAGCAATGAATTATTTCGTCATATTATGATCACCCCCTCGTTGGTGTCTCCACCTTATCGTGGTGAGGGTGTTTGAGTATGCCAAGGACCCTGAGAGCTATACCAGCGGTAGCGTAGCTACTGGCAGGGCCTCCCTTGCTGGACAGGTCAAAGGGTAGGCATCAGACGAAGAGAGAGACCGAAAACTGATGCCGGAAGCAGCGTCATCAGCGGCGACTTGAAGCACAGAGAAAATGATGCTCGAGATGGTTCAAGTTCGTATAGCAACAGGCGTGACCAGAGTGGTTTGAACGGCTGTTGTACTGCGATGTGGAAAGCAAATGGAAAAACTACCACATTATCACTATTCCTGGATAGTCTCTTTCCAAAAACAGAAGATCGCATTAAGTGGAGAAACTGTTTTGGAAGAGGCTGTGGACCTGTCATCTGACAGATTACTGATGAATGAATGAATGAATTATGATCACAGAATCATGCTGCTCTCATATTTTTCTGTTATGTATTAGGTGATATTTGAAATTTACGAAACACTTTTCGTAGAACTTTCTCAACCTCACTCGATACCTTTCTTCAGACAGTAGGAAAGCATCAACATACGTTTTGGGGGGAAAGAAAGACGTATTCCCTGGCTGCATAAATACAAATGAAGGGACACATGCTGTTTGTTCCGCTATTTATAGAGCCCTGTGTGTTAATGCATAAACTTATGCATAATCATCTTTAATAATGTTAATATTTTTTATCTGAACTTACCTTTATTTTCTTGAACAGAATAGCAGAGATTTCTGAATCCTATATTCTTATGGTGATGGCATTTCTTGATTTCTTGCGATCTCCGAAACTTTGTCTGGTTTTCCATGATTCAGTTATTTAAATTTCCCGTTTACGCTCTGAGTGCTGCATGTAGTTTCCACACTGCTTATGCAATACCTGCACAAGAACTGATTACGTAAGAACGCAGTTAATTCCGGGGGGAAAAGTGACATAAAGCTGCGTATAGCGGTTGAAAAGTTTTGTGTACCTACGGGAAAATCGTACTTCAACCTGTATAAACTACTGATGTACGAAACTAGTAAAGGGTCTGAAGAGTATAACCTTCTCGAACGTGACTCCGTATATTTTGGTAAAATGTTGCCTTTTCCTCCTTTCTCATGTACGTACCACGATAAAGTACTATGATCGTGAAAGAAAACTGGTCATGAGATTTTGAAAGAGCCGGGATAGCTCAGTCGGTATAGCGACTAGCTACGGGCTGGACGACCGAGGTGTCGGAGTTCGAGTCCCGGTAGGTTCAAGAATTTTCTCTTCTCCACGTCTTCCAGACCGGCTCTCGGGTTCACACAACCTCCTATCCAATGGGTACCGGGGGCTCTTTCCTCGGGGGTAAAGTGTCCGGGGCGTGAAGCTGATCACTCACCTCCAGCTAGTGACGAGATCAAGAAAATGTGGATCTATACATCCACTCCCCCATACGCCTTCATGGCGTAGTGCTTGAAGCCGTTGAGCACAGAGACAACTTTGTCCCTACTTATACGTTTTGAGGACATATGAATAAGAAAATTGGTTTCTGTCTGTCTGTCTGTCTGTCTACAGCTGTAGCCCAAAGGCCTGGACGCAATTTATTTATGAGCTTGTCCCTAACAGGTCCGTGATCGGCGAACAGAAACATTCTGTCTCTAAAAATAAGAGCCTTTCATAGGAGCACCAAAACAAAAATTTTCAATTTTCTGATAAACTGGTTAAACTACTTTCATTAAATTTCAGTAATTTATGAAGACCATGTCCCTAAAAGAAACTCTATAGGCGGTATCTTCAGGAAACCAACGGTACGCCATCTATATGCGCTGCGATAACGCAGTTGCTGTAGCGAGCTACAGGTTGGAGGGCCCAGGGTTCCGAGTTCGAGTCTCAGAGGGATTAATTTTTTCTCCTCTCCACATCGTCGAGCTCTGGGGCCTATACAACCTACTATTCAATGGGTACAGGGGGAAAAGCGGTAGGGGCGTGAATCTCACTACTAATCTCCAGCTAGTGCCGAAATTAAGAATACGCGGATCCACATGTCCACTCCCCCGTACGCCTTCATGACATAGTGCTTAATAGTTAAGCACAGGAACCAATTTACCTTATCTTACGCCCTCTATATGTTCAACGTCTTTGGACCGATGTTGTTCGTGTACTCCGTCACATCCTAGGAAATATATTCGCTTCAAGTTCACTGCCGCGAGAAGTCATATACTTCACTGAAGACTTTGTCTGGTTGAGAGGCAGAATTGTGTAAAGTCTGAGCACCTTCAGCAGTATTTTCATTGGCTTTAAGTATATTACTCTGACACATTACGAAGTGTTTTTTTTCAAACCCTTATCTCGCGGATTAGTTCGACTTCGAACACCCAGGATCTCTGCGCTCAAGCAGGCGAAGACATGTGATGCCTTGGGCAGCGCGGCCACTGTGATCAGCATTTACATAATTACATCGAACAAATGTACACTTACTCTGAACTCAGTAGCACAAATTGTAGTGTATTTCTTTTACTTAAACATTTCCCTTTATTGACTCGAACTCCGACCTCATCGGTAGGCAGTCGCTATACCGACTGAGTGAGCCGGGATAGCGCGGTCGGTATAGCGACTGCCTATGTGCAGGTGCCTGAGTTCGAGTTCCGGTAGGGTCCATATCGTCCAGAGGGTCCAGACCGGCTCTGGGGCCCACCCAACCTCCTATACAATGTGTACCGAGGGCTCTTTCCCATGGGTAAAGCGGCAGGGGCGTGAAGCTAACCACTCACCTCCAGGTAGTGCCGAAGTCAAGAAAATGTGGATCTATACATCTACTCCCCCATACGCCTTCATGGCATAGTGCTTAATTAGTTAGGTTAGTTAAGTTTAGACATCGTACTTCACGGTCATGTGGTTATCGTTTGGGCAGCCACGTATTTAGGGCGAAATATCCTGACCCATATTCTTAGTGATTTTACTCAGTTCTTCCAGACAATACTGTGTTATTTTTCTCAGTTCGTCATCCACAATCATCTTCCTTTCGATGCAACATAAGAAGTTGGGAAACGTCTTTAAATGAACAGTTTAGTACATCCATTTTTATTACTTCTTTGCTTATTGTTGGAGAAAACTGCATAATGAGGAGCTTCATAACTTGTACTCTTCTGCAAGTATAAGTAGAATGATCAAGTCAGGAGGATGAGATGGGCAGGGCATGTAGCACGAATGGGGGGAGAAGAGGAATGCATATAGGATATTGGAGGGAAAAGCCAGAAGGAAAGCAACCACTGGGAAGTTCCAAGCGTAGGTGGGTTGATAACATTAAGATTGATCGTAGAGAGATAGAATGGGATGGTATGGATTGGATTGATCTGGCTCAGGATAGGGGCCAGTGGAGGAATCTTGTGAACACTACAATGAACCTTCTGGTTCCATAAAATGCTGTCAAGTTCTTGAGTGGCTGCAGAATTGGCGGCTCCTCCAGAAGGGCTCAGCTCCATCGGTGAGTGTTTATTTACCGACACTGCCAGCACCCGAAGTTATGTAGCGTCGAACAGTAGGAAGACCGGCGAATAATAAAATGGAGAGGATGTGGGAGGAAGAAAGTTTCATATAATTTGAGAAGCCACCCCGAGATTTGCCTGGAAACACTGAGGAGAATCACGAGAAGCCTCAATCAAGATAGCCGGCGTTTTTGGCGGGATTTGAATCGGGGACCATCCGAATTCATAGCAGCGAATTTAATCTAAATAGTATATTCGTACATGAATACAATTGTAAGAGATTCCATAGTTTCATATTGGCGCTGGATGGGGGAAATAAACAGCCATTTTCGTCCCCCTAAACTTTTGGAAATCATGATTTAAAAGAAAAGAACAAATTATTATTACATAAAAATTAAAGTATTTAAATAATTCTTCTTGTATCTAATACTTACAGTTATCAGTAAAAACAGTCTTAAGTAGCTAAAATGGCAATTTTTAAGATATTTTCTCTCTACTTCTCCTTGGACGAAATGCCTGGCACTCAAACTGACAAATTTAGTGCCCTCAGGTGGCACGAAAGAGAATTTAAAACACAATACTACTTACGGCATAACAAAATATCCACCAGCTGGGGTCAAAATAATCAGTCGTGTTCACTGGCTTTATAACAAAATGGCAACACTGCACGAACATACAGAATTACTCGTAATTTCCGGCATTATTTGGAATTTAAATCACTTCCATATCGTCAGAAACGCAGTGTTCTCACTAACAACGGCTAATTTGAAACTGCAACTGCCTTAGGAAGTGCTGTCTTTTATACAAGACAGAAGTTGCACTACCTGGAATATAAGCAGATACTGCGTGAGTCATCTGTTATCTTCCAATCGCCTACCCTGCACACAGCACACTGCCAAGGTAGCACCTATCGCGAGGAAACTGCTTGTGACGTCAAGTAACAATGGACTGATATAAGATTCGATTTTTTTATTACACTTATAAGAGTGGCTGTGTTACAAGTGTGCAACATTATTCTTCCAAAAGATGCAGAGTGTAGTTTTATAAGTGCTGATAACCAACTAAAGTAACGTTTGTTAGACTGTGTTTTTATTTCTCATGTAGATTTATCTAACGTCGCTGCCGATAGTTGACTGATGATCAATAACGAATTTAGCGTAGAGCTCCGCGGGAGGGAATGAGAGAGGAATACTAACTCGTTATGTCACGTGTATATCTGAATTTGAAACAACCTTTATTTATTTATTTAAAGTTATTTTTTTGGCAGCAGTTTTTTTAGACAACACACTGTAGCATTTTAATACATCTAGCAGACTGCAAAGAATGTGAACTTCTGAATACATGTTGAACATTATTCCATTTTTCCATAATTTTTTTTTGGAAGTAATTCTCAAAAAATTACGCATTGAAGTACATATTTAGTGAGACTGAAGATATGAAGATCTGCTTTCACTTTGCATGCGAGTCCATGGGTCCTTAAACATTATGGCCAACTAAGATATTCGTAGAATGAAAATATTTATGAATAACATTGTCACGTGTTTGAGTGACTGTAGACGGGGTTTGGAATGTTGACTCGATTTATTGACCACTTATACATTTACGATTCATGACTACACTTTCAGATCACTGACACACACATATATTAGTGTTCTCAGTCTCCACTAGTCGTTTTATGGCAACGGATTTTAACACAGGAACTATAACAGTCTCACAAACTTACACATAAATTCTTCTCTTCACAGGCTGACTTTCAACTGAGCACTCTTTTAACTAACTGGTTGCCCCAAACCGTCCCTGTCATAACATTCCGGCACGGACCACATAGAAAACACTGTTCTTCTGTACTATTGTTGCGTTCGTGTCTGTTCCTGCGGGAACGTGTTTACCGAGCCGTTGCCTAAAAACAACTCTTGTATATTTTCTTATCTCGCAGTCGTTGCATAGTAACGGCTCTACAGGTTACAATATGAAGGAGGCGGCTTTATTGTTTAACATGAAAGCAATACATTTTTTTTCGTAACAGACTGTCGGAATGTTGATAACTGTCGTACATACTGGAGCTTTGCAGGACAGAAGTGGTTGCCCTCTGGCCCCCTCCGGCTGGCGACAGTAAAGCCACAACACATTGTCCTGGTTTATTTTTTATTATCATTATTATGCAGATAGACTGGACTTTGAAGTCGCAAAGATACAGTTCAGTCGGTATAGCGAGGAACTATTGTCTGGACAGCCGGTGTTCTATTCACGGCAGGGGCAAGAAATGTTTCTTTGCGTTACACTGTCCAGAGACAGCCTCTGTGGTCTAGTGAACAGAGTTCATGGCTACAGATCCAGAGGTTCGGGTTCGATTCTCGGCGCTACCAAATTTTATGAGAAGTAGTGGGTCTGGAACGGTGTCCACTCAGCCTCGTGAGGATAATTGAGGAGCTATTTCAAGAAAATAGCGGCTCCGGTCTAGAAAACCGAAATTAACGGCAGTGGGGATCCGTTGCGCTGACCACGCGACACCTTCTATCTGCATAAGTCGGCACAAATTTGGCCGACAAGAGGCGGTCGCTCGGTCGGTATAGTTCTCTTGCGGACTACAGGCCACGGAGTTGTCTTTGTACTCTGTCCAGACAGTCTGCGGTTCCATTCAGCCTTCTATCCAATGAGTACCGGAGGTTCTTTCCCTGGAAGTTAAGTGCCCGGTATGTGTAGCTGATTACTCACCACCATCTAGCCCTAAGGTCAAGAATTGTGGAGCTGTTCCTCCATTCCCCAACACGTCTTCATGGCGTGGTGCTTAATTAATTAAGCACAGGGATAAATGTATACATATGTATATGTATACATGGGATGATGAGAGAGGAATATGAGCTGAAAAGTACGGCAGATGTTTCTGTAATTCATCTGTGAATGCAAGTCTGACTTGTTAGGCCTATTGTCGTTCCCAAATACAGCGGGGTTGCTTTTTATGCTAATTTGAAATAGTGCGATATAAAGCAAACGTATTTGGGCACGAGGTAGCGTAGTTGGTTGAGGCAATATGCTACAAGCAGGATGGTCGCGGATTCAAGTCCCGATGGGGTCATTGGTTTTTTTTCTCAATTGATCTAATCCCTCCAGCCGCACTATGACCCTAGAGTCGACTCAGCCTCTAACAGAAATGAGTACCAGGAATCTTCCTGGGAGTGAAGGGCAGCTGGCGCGTAAGGCTGATAACCTCACCGCCATCTGTGAGCCGATTGTCTAGATAAAATATGGGAGCCCCAACGTCTCATAACTCTTTGGGCTTCCACGGCCTGTTGCAGGGATACCTTTACCTTTTATAAAGCTTAACAGGAACTCACTCTATGCGCAAAGTTTGAAGTAATCCGAATTTGTTCCTAAGAGAACTTGTCTTGAATTATGGCAGGTCTTCAGGAACGCATCCTTCGCACAAAATGCGAGCACAGTCTCTTTGAATTTTACCACATTTTCAAAGGATTTATTGCTGTAATTACTGAGATTATTGTCTTGTGCGACACGACGCCATTTTGATGACAGCAGAACTTTGATTCCTGGCGTTCAGGTTTACAGAGCGTCACATTTCAGACGATCATAACTTACAGTTGCTCAGCAATCTCTTCCTTTGCTAAGACCTTGAAGACTACAATAAGAAGGTCCGGTTTGCTTTCGTTAACAAATGGGGCCACTGAGTTCATTGACGTATGTCTGACTAAAGCGCACGGTCAGTTTCTTTTTTTTATCGATTCTCGTGGTCGTGACCGGTCGTGACAAATGTTGCCAGTAATGGATGACGAAGTTATATTAAAAATGATAATTGCAGGTCTCTGCTTGTGAGGCAGGAAACTATGTATCGATTATATAACTCTTCTAAGGGAGCCGAAATGTAAGTGAACTGGCCACACAGTAATTTGATGTTGGCTGAATCTCTGTTATAACAGTAACTGATGAAAATTTATATGAGCGTATGTATCTTCAACTTCAAGTTTCTTACAGCAAAATTTAAAAAATTATTTACGGTACAAGAATGACTTGTGCACCAATCATATGCAGATTTTTTTTTTTTTTTTTCAGATTTGACCATGGATTCCGGCAGTGGGGCAAGTCAGGAATATGTTTCCCTCAATTTTCTTAGTAGATGAAGTTGAAAAAGAAGAAATATATTAAATACAGTGGAAATGATCTCGAAAATGTTTATGGTACCATCATTGTTTCAATATATGAACCAAATGTCTAGGACGACCCGTGGAAACCGTCCTGAACGGCTTAAACGAAAGTTTATAAGCAAATTTGTGTTTGTCACGGAGCCAGACCGATTTTGTTTCTACTCACTCGTAGTAGACCCAGTGGAGTCCGGACGTAAGGCGAGTGGTGCGGCAGTCCGCAGTTCCACGCTTCGACAGTGCGCGATACGCAATAGTTTTTTTTTTCTTGGCACTACAGCCCCAGTGGGCCTAGGCCTACCTCCATGAACTTCTCCGTTGACTTCGTTTTTCTTGATGTTACACATTCGGTAGGACTCCTTGGGCGGGTGATCAGCTCGTCGCAAGGCCTCTACCTGTACAATAACACAGAAGAACGCACACACACAAACTAAACATCCATGCCCTGAGTGGGATTCGAACCCACGATCCCGGTTTCCAAGCGAGCGAAGGCAGTGCATGCCTTAGACCGCTCGGCTACCGTGACCGGCATGCGCAATATTTATTGTGCACAGTCCAAACTTTGAGGGTGTTAAATCATAATGAGTGTTTTAATTCCAGTTCTTAAGTCGATTTACTTTCAATTGATATTTCTACCTGTGTTTCCATTAATGTTCATTATTAGTGCGTTTTGATTACATTAACTTTGACACTGGTAGCATCATTAAATAGAAGAGAAACTGGCCTCCGTGTTTCCGTCATGTTCATTATTAATACCTGTTAAGTATATTCTCGACACTAGCAGCGTCGTTAAATAACAAACTTTAAACTTTGAAAAGTCACATTCCCAGTTTGACATTGTTATGGGAAAGCATAATATTGTTGCTAGCAAAGTAATGAAATTGCTAGGGCCGCGCCATAATTCAAGCGGTTAGTCCCTGGCTTCCCACCGCGGCGACCCGGGTTCGATCCCGGGGTCTGGTAAAGTGGGATTTGTGGTGGACAAAGTGGCGCTGGGGCAGGTTTTCTTTCAGTATTTCGGTTTCCCCTGCCAATCTTCATTCCACCAATTGCTCCACAATCACCCTCACCTATCATCTGGGGCTGGTACAATAGGCCAGATGTGGCCGCAATACGAGGGACTTAGTCCCATCCCACAAAAAGAAAACACGAAATTACTACAGAAACCGAAAAGTCGCTGCCGAGATTGTAAAATAGTAAACAAAAGTGTGATTTCGGTGGTGCTTGCTTGCTCAGCTTACACTTCAGTACATTTTCTTTCCGAAACATCTGTCAACATCTGCCAGACTACACGGCGTCACGTCTGCAAGCACTCTACTCGTTCAGAGCGAAGTGCTAGACACAGTTATTTGTGACAGGTTCTCACGTAGCCATGAATGTATCAGCGAGTATTCGCAGACTTATGTAAGAATCCATGACTTTAATGAAATAAGATTGGTACGCCTGTGATCCTGAAAACACAGTCGATTGCTGATGTTCATTGTATTTGCATTTTCAGATATGACGTTGGTGTGCTTGAAATGGCGGTATTTTTATAGTTTTTGCCGGTTTTCGTGTTTATGGTTGTCAGAACTTTTGAAAAGCAGAGCTATGATGTGAAGAAAATGAAATCACCAGGTATGTAAGAAATGCTATATAAATTTTATTACAACCTAGAACAATCCGGACTTTTAAACAAGGACTAAGTTTCATAACCTAATGAAATGAAGTCCGTAACCCTAATTGACTGATCGTTGTTGTGATCCTGAAAAAAATTCCCTGTCGACTGGAAATTATAAGAGCCGTGGAATGAGGAAACCTTTGCGCATATTAGCGTAGCCATGAAAGATATGTTAGCAGGAAGGAAGATCCAGACCTGACATGAACCTATCATGTGTAACAGAAGTAAATGACAGGTATTCATTTCTTACCACATTACAAGGTGATTCATCTCTAAATATTACTGCTACCCAAAATCAATAGTATATCATATTTTTCAACCATCCAATAATATAGACATACATTGTGTGATATGGGACTCGAAACCCTGTTCAGTGACCCATGAACTTTAATGTAACTGGTTAGTTAATCGTATTTTTCACAAGGGTGCTAGAGCTATCATCTCCTTTTAACCTATAAATCCTAACCTGACTTAAAGAAATGTGTAATAAATTAGAAGTCACCATGGTGGAATGTCAGCAAGGCAATATTGTACATTTTATAAGTAACTTTGGAAGCTTCAAAAGCAATTGCATTAGGTCCTACTTTTCTCCAATAATTTTGTGCATTACCTTTTGAATATTCCCAGAATAGTTCAATGTAGACACCATGAACTGTTCTGAGTACATTATTCTGAAAAACTTTATTACAACACCACTATATTTTTTCTGAGATTTTTATACCTGCTATTTATATTTGTGTGAAATACATATGAGGAGTCACGGGAGCTCAGTCAGTGTAATGAGTGTGCTGTGGGATGGACAACCAGGAAATTGGGGTTTGATTCTTAGCAGGAGGAAGAGCTCTACTTGCCACAGTCCAGACTGGTTCTGGTGCCCACACAGTCACTCATCCAGTGAATACTAGATATAGCAGAAAAATAACGCAGGTGTGAAGCTCACTGCTCATTTCTATCTAATGCTAAGGTCAAGAATGCATGGGGCTATACCGCCACTACCTCATACATCTGCATGGTTTGTTACTTTTTAGTTTTTTATGTGATTGTTATTACAGGTGGGCAGAGTCACATGTTTCTAAGCCTGAGATGGTAGCTGAGAATTTCTCTTCTTGTTTCTTGTCCTCTCTGTGGTGATATAATTGTTTCAGTGTTTCTGTTTAGGCCATAATTGTTGTGTTTCCTGTTATTACAGGTACATGACTTAATTCTTGCTGACTTGAGTATATTTTCTCCAGTTCAGCATGTCAGCATTTGTTAGAGGAAAGAACTCTCAGACTTTCCAGTCAGTATGTATTTTACTTCAGCTTGTTATGAACTCAAAAAGTGGTAATTTTCAGTTTTTCAAAGTTTTCTCCAGAAGTTTTGGACTCTTAACGCTTCCTGTACTTATCACACACACATACGAAGAAATTAGGAAAAAGAAAGTTTGATTGTTAATCTCAAGATGATCCAGAATGCCAAAAAACAAAAAAGCCATCCTTGGAACAAGAAGGTTCTGATGGTGGTGACTACGAAGAGTGCAATCTTCTGGATTGTAATACCATGTAATCTGTGGAGATCCTGATGTTTCAGATGAACATATTGCCTCCATCTTCAGGGTCAAAGAGGAAGGAAAGCAAGAAACTAACAGAAACTGAGCTTGCTGCCTGCTTTTGATTGGCTCACTCTTTGACCCTCAAGATGGAGGCAGTATGTTCCTCTGAAATTTCAGACTATCTTTAAGTTAAGCAGCTTTACAACCTAGAAGACTATGCTTTTCACAACCTTTTGTTGATTTTGGACAAATTTAAATGATGATTAATTAATGTGATAAATGAATTATTAGCCACAATTTATAGAAATTTCAATGAAAAGTTTAGAGTAAGAATAATTTGGTCTTCTGTGTCACTTCTTTTAGGAACGGGGAAGACTGATGGAAAGTTTCCCCAGTGGAGATCATGTCCGATCACTCAACAGTTCTCCTGTTGATATATTTTGGAGCCCCTCTGCTAACAGAGATGTAGATATGATTTCAAGTTCTTGTGCGCTTCGTCGGGTAGTGACACGGCTTGATTTTGATTCCTGTGTGTCCCAGAGCCCAGATGCCTCCTGCCAGTTTCGATCTCGGGTGACAGACAGTGTGATTAACGCAGAGAACAGAGATAGACTCCGTCCTGATGCCACTGTGTTAGATGACAGTAAAGGGAAGATGTGTACAGATATGATAGATTCCAGAAGTGTGAGTCCCCAAAACAAAGGGAATCAAGGGGATTCTGCCGTTGCAAGTTGTGATGAGAAGTTTTCAAAAAAAATTCCACATGAATTTAATAAGACACATGAAAGCAAATTCTCCCTTCAGACACCTGTCAGTCACATTTCAGGAACAGGAAATTTCACTAATGTCACAGCATCTTCTCCAGTGATCAGAAAGAAGAAGTTATCTCCAGGAGTGAGGTCTTTTCGTATTAGAAAGAGGTGGAGGGGAGAAAGTAAGAAAGAGGTTAATGATCCCCTTCAGCAAGAGATACTCTGTCAGGAACACACATCTCTTTTACTTAGTTCACAAAGAGGTGATAGAAAAGGTTCACGTGAGTTAAACACACAGACAGAAGCAGAACTTCACTTAAAAAATAATGTAAGGCTGACTACAGTTCATATAGATTTGAGTTCCACAGTCGCTGAGAATGAACTTTCACAACCTGCTTCATCTCAGCGGAACAAACCGTCAGTAAGCGATACGGTGTCACCTGTTATGAAATGTGATCACAGAAAGCGTAATCGGAAACATCGTGATAAGGTATCTCATTCTGGAAAGAACTCCCTCAATAATACAGACAAATTAGATCGAAGCGGTATACAAGAGAATGACGTTGGGTTAAAGGAGACAGATGCAGCAGGAAGTATTTGTTCCCCAGATTTGAATATATCACCTTCATCGCCTGTCCTTGTGAAAAGTCGAGAGAAAAGGTTTAGAAGAAGAAAAGTTATGATGACAGTCAAGTCAGGAGACTGCATTGACAAAAAAGAATTTCTAGAATGCAGCAGGGTTTCCGGCAACAAAGATGTTTTGTTGTGTGACCACGCTGTTCTGGACACGCCACAACGAAAACATATGCATTCAGAGTGTAATAATATTCACGGTCCCATCACATTGAGAGATGATGGAAAAACTGACGATGATAGTGCATTGAGAGAGAGCCAGAAGCCTAAGAATTGTGATGCTAAAGGTGACTCTGTATATACTGAGGATGTGGAGGTATCGAACGAGTCAAAGGGTTCTGAATTATCTGTGGTTGAATGTTCGATCGAGGCAGATATCACTGTTGAGAAAGAATGTAATGGGATTTGTGTTGAGAAAAGTATTAATTCGTCTACCCAGGAGATCTGTAAAGTTCTTAACGAACGTGGGCAGTGTGGAAGAAAATCTGAAAATATGGAGGCAAAAGCATTGTTTCCAAATTTTTCACATAATATTTTATGTAGAAGCGAATCCATGCTTCTGAAGAGAAGGGAATGGAAATGTGATATTGAAGTGAAGAAAGAAATTCCTGATGTGACATCCACCGAACCACTGATTGAGACTGAAACATCACTGGACATCAGCATGGATGATGCAGCTGTATGTCATCATAATGATGTCCCACAGGTAAATTTTGTTGTACAGAATTGTATATCCTTTTGCTGTGCACAGCATTTCATCGCTTTCATACAGAAACTGCCTCCATAGGGTTGGAATATACCTTAAATACAACTATCATGTTTTTGGACATTATCCATCATCTTGTCTTTATCTAAAAACCTTCCTGTTTATTTTTCAAAACACAGCGTTTCACAGGCTGGATTCTATCTCCTTCCTGAGGTAAAACCGACTCAGTTGGGCCCAATCGATAGAGCTAGTCCCTTTCTCCGGACCAATCAGAAAATCTGATTGCTAATCCAAACTCTGTCTATAATCACTGTATCACATGACAATATGTGTTACAGGATATGTACATGTACATTATGGACAATTTAAGAAATTTTAGGGAGTAATTGTGATTATACCTGGTTTTAGAATGTAAACCCCCCCCCGTAGGATGTGGCTCCACTGTAATGGAAAAGGTATTACAATTAAAAAGAGTCTGAATTTGCTGTTTAGAGCCTTACAAGTTGTAGCTGACGAAGATTGTGAGACTGCTGAAGCTATTTCCTCAATGTTAAACAGGAAGTTAGTTGCCAATCAAAATTTTTTAGTCACTATCAATGACCAGGTGGTCTCATTTCTCAAGTCCTGCCTAGAAGAATTTGAAAAGATTATATTTTTAAAGCTAATAACTTCTGACAATATTTATAGGACGTTTGTGGAGATGAGCTGTCATTAATATCATCGCCCACCTTATCAGCTGAGAGTCATGATTTAGATTTGATGATCAGCAGTTGCAGCACGCCGAAAAGCGATAAATCAGGTGCTTTGGCTCGTCATAGGCAAGAAGCTGGTGGTGAAGATGGTGTGATATCATACATGGACTCTGGGAAGAAGAAGAAGAGGAGATTGCGGCTAAACAAGTAAATGCAATCTCAGGAGAGTGTGTCGATAAAGCATGTGTGATACTGAGGAGTATGTAACTGCTATGTCTGTCATCTTCGTTCTGCCAATCGTAGAAGTTTATCTCTAAAAACAAACCCAAAGCAAGATGTTTAGATTTTTGTTTTTAAAAACAAATCCAAAAATCTAATCTTGTGCACCTATGGGAGGCAGATTCTACGGTTTGTTTTTCGGCTCTGTTTTTACACATGAACTTCTGAGGTTAACAGTGATAATATGGCAGTAAGTTTTAAAGTTGTGTCACAAAATAATATGTAAGTACCTAAAGATTATACCAACCAGAGATGGAAGTTGTGCTATGAGGAAGCGCAGAAATTTCTTGCTAAATATGGTTGTCTGTCTGTGTCCAGTTTTCCCAGTTGCAGTATTTGTTTTTATTTATCTTCAGTTTTTAATTTATATATACACACAAACAATAGTTGGCTTCTACACTGTGATATCAGCATTTTCTGGGATCTGGGATTTAATGACATTGAAAACCAGTTTATCAGCATCCAGATTACTGTCTCAGTGTATCATTTTGAGTCACTTTCTTATATTTTATGTCTTTTATAGGCATGCATGATTTAGTTGGACCAATTTCAGTGTTTTATTGAAGGAATGTAAACCTAGCAATTTGTGAGAGGTTGCTGTACACACATTTTACATGTGTCATTTTTGTTTATATTCATTTATTATGGATATGACTCCAGTTTGCAAACTAATTATACTGCAGATATCACTCACATTACATAAGAATTTCATTTACTCCACTGTTTTGTATACAGATCAGGATTGGCTGCTCGACTTCAGAAGTTACTTGCTCGTGTACACTCATCTACACGCATCTGGCAACATGAGGCAGACTATTCAAACGTACTGCGTTCCAGCAAAAGAGGAATTCTTCTGGAGGTCCATTCAGTGTGGGCAGAATACTCCCACTTACTGGTTCACTGCGCATCATCTTCTGGTAAATAGCCCAGAAAGAAACTTGTAATAAATTCATTATTTTCCAGAAGTGGATTATTTTGTTCTTCAGTGGTTGATGTTGTAAAACTTAGGAGGTGATCAGATGTTGGAGCTTAGGTTAGAAAAGTATGTTGTATACAGGTATTTGGTGGGAATGAGCTTGAAACTCTGAAGTGAAGATGAGAAGACTATATATAAAATTATTTTGAAGGTAGTGGTGGCGGTGGCGGCGGTGGCGGCGGCGGCGGCAGTGGTGGTGGAAATGGTGACGGTGGCCGCAGCAATAGCAGTTGTTGTTATTATTATTTTTGCTTTGTGTAAGATTTGACATCGACCCTGATGATGCAGACAGAGGAGATCTGTGAAACGTTTTTTAACTCATCATTGACATGGTTGATTGCCTGAGAAGATTTTAGCACTGATGTTGTTTTGGTTGTTCTGCCTTGATGGCCTGTTTTGTGTTTTGAATAGTATGTGTGTAGGAGAGTAACCTTTACTTGTGTAATAAAAATGTGATGCAGTGTATTTTATAATTTCCTTTGTAGGTAAGTTTGTGTCACCACCAAGTTCAGATGGTGATGATTCATGTAACAGTGATGTCAACACACGGATTATCATTGTATTAGATCCATCTCTCCATATTCACATCAAACCCTGGACTACCATTCGGATTTACCCACCTTGGTGAGTTTGAAAGACAAGAAAGAGTGCAGGAAATGCAAAAGATCATGTGGCAGTATTAGGGATTTAGTCTGACCACATTCATAAAACAGATAATACCTAATTATCTCTGTTTGTTCAGGCAGAGATTAATTGTGTCACGCCTGAATGTAACTCTGGTACTTGGCGTCAGCTGTGTGGAAGAAGTGAAGGCAAGGGAGGAGAGTAACTGGATTGTATCCTCTCGTGTACAGTCACAGCAGCGTGTGACAGAGACACTTTACACGTGCCCTTGTTCGTGCCTTCAAGGTAATTGCTTCAGAATCATTGTTATACTTTCAAACAGCTCTTTCTTTCTTTCTTTCTTTCTTTTTTCTCAGATTATTTTTTCCAGTACTCTTACGCTTGGTAATTTGAAACCTACAATACGCAGAGCGATGGTTTCTTAGGTGTTTGACTTGTGTTTGATAGTGTATCAAATGCAGGGTATAACTAAAAGGTGTGGGCATGAGTTTCATGTACCAAAAGGAGGAAAAATGTTCATATCAACATGTGTCTAGAAACTTTTAATTTGTGAGTTACAGCTGAAAGAGTACATTTATAACATGTGCTCAGACTTTCCTCCATGAAATTCAGTGCATGCCTCGACATGTCTCATCATTGACCACTGCATCTGTTCAAAGACACCAGGGTAGCTGTGGAGAGTCTGTCAGGCATCCACAGTTTAAAGGTGAAGTGCTTCTTTGTTGTCAACAGGAGCTGCATACACAAGGGTTTTTAGGTGTCCCCATAGGTAGAAATCCAGAGGATTCAAGTCAGGTGACTGTGGAGGCCGTGCAGTGTCCTCTACATGTCCATCAGTCATATATAGGTATTACTGAGAACATCTCGCACAGTGCGGCTAAAATACACCAGAGCACCACCATGCAATTTTTCAGCTATAACTCACAAATCAAATGTTTCGGGGCATATGTTAATATGGACGTTTTTTATCATTTTGGTATGTGAAACTTGTGCTTAAAATTTGTCTGCAACTTTCATTCATGTCTTATACATCTGTCATACCTCCTCATGAGGCTTCATGCACTCTCTGGAGATACGTGTACCTGTGGTTGAGAACTCTTGCCCAGACTGAGTCAAATTATACCTGAATGTCCCACAGTTGTACACAGGCACAGAAACAACTTTATTTTTACACTATTTTATTAGGAAGATATTTGTTGAGGAAAGCTATCCATATTGGTATATGGGCTAGTGAGAAAAACTGGAACTATGATGAATTTGGGATGGAAAGAAAGCATTAGAAACACCTTTTTTTTCTGTACTTAGATCTGAGGGGAGGAAACAAATGTCTGTTCCACTTTCCACATAATGGCTTGGAGTTCTTGGAGCATCTGCTGCCCCAAGAGATTCCAATGAGAGCTTTGCATTGCAGCACAGCTGATATTGAACGTGTATCCAATACAGGCAGTTCAGAATGGCAAGTCACAGAGACTGGCACCATAGCAGAAGCCATAGTCAACCAAGGCTGCTTAGTGTCTGAGGAGAGCTATTTGCAGTTGTATATACTGCAAGTGTTCCACTACAAGTCAAGGTTACTATGCCTTATTGATAATTTTTGTGCTTGATGCTTCCATAGATTTTGCTATGCACTGGGGTAGTTTTCCTCCTCCCCTCACTCCCTCTCTTACCCTCCCTTCCCCCTCCTTCGCTTCCAGTACTTTGATAACCATTAGGTGGCCACTGAAGATCGTGTCAGGAGCAAGTACAGCCCCTTGCAGCATGGTAAAGCCATGAGACGCCAATCCACAGGACTGAACTCAGATTCGTGCAATGTCTTCTGTTGACATTGTCTCACCCAGACCCATTTTGTTGGTGCATGTTTGTTTCTTGACCATGCATGATGCACCATGGCCCTCAGAGCCAATCCTTGTCTTGAAGTTACAGATCAAATTTGCTCACTTCCCTTACCTACATTAGTCTGTAGCCTAGAGGCCATTCACCTTGGAGACATGCTGTGTGTAACCCAGTCAACAATGTACCTCTGGAATCAGTCTCCATGAGGAGTGTCAATGAAATGTTATGGTTCCTTTTCAATGATCATATGTTTATAATCAATCCAACTTAGGTTTTCTTTGTGTTCAAACCCACGTTTTTCCATAGAAAAATCTTAAATTGGAATTTCTCTGTAAGTGTTTGCTGTTTAAAGTTTATTCTGTCTTTATAATTTAAAGTTCTGGTAAGAATTATATTGATTTTTCATTTCAGAATTTAAATATATAATTATAATCCATTCAGTTTTAGAATGGTCTCTTAAGGATCTCTTATATTGTGTCATATACACTTCTTTTTATTGGAAAAATGAAAAATTGTTCCTCTTCTGTCGTTATGTCTGTTACATGATGCTCTCTTAAGTAAGAGCACTTACCATGTACAAGTAAAGATTTCGTTCTGACTCTTTGTCTCTTCAGAGGTGATAATAAGACAAATCAAGATGATGCCACTCCTAACAGTGTTAGCTGGTCAATCTTAGGCTGTGATGCAACAGGCGAGTGCTGTGAGGTGTTACTGGGCCATGGGCCTTCCAGCATAGAGATGTCACATAAATGGACAAGCATTATGAGCAGGCAGGCTATTGGTCACTTCTGCAGATTAACAGGATTCACCTTAATGAAACGCATCCATAGAACAAAGTGAGTCATGTTATGCCAGACACACATGCCAGTTCTCGCTTGTCATTTTGTGTGCACGCTCTGAAGTATGAGGATAAAATGGAGAATTTGTGAGGACACATTCACGGATGTAATCGTGATCTACAGTCATCTCCTTGTTTCAGAGGTTATCTGTCAGATGCAAAGAGCATGTAAGCAAAGTGATGATCAGGAAGGAGACCGTATGACTGGTGTTGTGAATCCTTGTGCAGTGTTTTGCTCAGAGCCAGTAGTTTTAAGATCTAATGATACCAGGTTGGCCACTCACTTTTGAGATGCCTGAATGCTAAGTGTTCTCACTCTTCAGAAATGATGTGCTGCAGTATGACTTCCTACAAGACAAAATATATATTTGTGTCTTTATTTCCTCATAATTATTTGGCAGTTTTATGCAAGAGTTTTAAAATACTTTACCATTACCATTCTCATGATTTCAGGATTTTTTCCCCCTCATTATCATTTTGTGCATGCCTGCACTTATATATGGGTATGAATGGTTTCTTCAACCTGTTTGGTATAACAAATTTGCATTTCATATTGAATTATTAATTTTTAATTTCTTAATTTTTCAACTGCTAAACAGTGGGCAGTATTACAATCAGCATTTCTAATGGATTTGAATTAGTCAGTCTTGAATAACTACTTTAATATGTAGAATTGTGATACACATGTATTCTTTTAATCCTGGATGGTTAATCCAAACATTAAAATTGTTTTAAGACATAACAAAAAATAAGTTATTCTTGTTTCTGCAAGGTAATATGTTAGAAACTGACATTTTTAATTCAGTGCAATTTGTTTATTTATGCGCTTTTTTTTTATTGCTAGTGGGTGGGACTAAGTCCCTTGTACTGCGGCCACTTCTGGCCTATTGTACCCGCCCCAGATGATAGGTGAGGGTGATTGTGGAGAAATTGGTGGAATGTAGATTGGCAGGGAAACAAAAGTACTCCGAGAAAACCCACCCCAGCACCACTTTGTCCACCACAAATCCCACTTGACCAGACCCGGGATCGAACCCGGGCCACCACGGTGGGAAGGCAGCAACTAACCGCTTGAGCTATGGCGCGGTATTTATGTGCTTACTCATCAGCACAGATGACAATTATAAAGTAAGCATGAGCGGAAGAAAGACACAAACACATACACACAATGGACAAAATAAGGCAACTTTTATCATTTAGACAATAATAATAATTCCATTAGTGCAATCATGCCAACCATTTTGGCCATACAAATAATGTTCACATTACAGTAGAGGGTATATGGTTTGTTGAAGTCAGTTGGTGTTATGAAGATTTCTGTCTTGTGCGATGTGACACTGCAGATTTCGGAAGGTCATCAGTATTTTGGTGTAAAATGCTGCCTCCATCTTCAGGAAGTAACATATTGGTAACTGTCCACCAGACTACACGGTGTGACATTCCAGAAGCCAGTCATCTTCATAATTAATGATGTGAAAACCTTAACTCTCACATAATGGTGATTCTTTTTGTCTTTCGAATAGGAATCCTAGCTTATGGTCGATGATTACGAAGTGTAAAGAACAAATAGGAAAACAAAACCTGAGTGGAAAGGAAGAGGTGAAAAATTCTGAACCACCAAAGTCATTTGTTCCTATTTGCAATTTGAAGGAGAGACAAGTAATAAGTGAGTTGCAGTCATTGGAAGGCACAGCTGCTCCTGCGTGCCGAGCGCTGCAAACTGGGCAACAGAAGGCAGATAATAGCTCACAGGAAACAAGTGGCAGGAACTCGGTACAACGCAAGGCTTCAGAACTTGGAACATCACTGAGGAAGGGCCAACTGTTTGCTTATGTCTTCTCACCCAGTACCGAGTCCTGGGAGATGGAACAGCTCGAGAGGGCTCCACATGGACAGAAAATCTCAGTACTAAAACCTCAGGTTTCCTGTCTGGCACATTCATTACAAGGGGTAATAGTCAATGAATTCTACTGCTGCTTTGAAGGGAGCTCCATAATGTATAGTCTTCACCAAAAATTAAGATAATAAAATTGGGAGAGGGTTAAGATGGGTGAGACATATAGCACACATGGGATCAATAAGAAATGTATACAAACTACAGTGAAACCTCGATTTAAGTTTTCTTTTTGGAGAGCAGTGAATTTGAACACTAAACTGAGGAAAATCTCAAATGAAAGAAACCTGACACTGAGATTATTGGCTTGGTATCATTGCAATTTACTGTTCCATGAGGAAAACCTTAAATTGAGGAACATCAGATTATGGTTCCATTGTATTAACCCGAAAACCTGGTGGGAAGAGATCACTAGGAAGTACTAGGTGTAAATGGGAGACTAGTACTAAAATAGATGTTAAAGAAATAGGGTGATGATGAGGATTAGATTTATCTGGTTCAGGATATGGCCCAGTTGCAGAATCCTGTGACTGCAGAATGAACCAAGCGTTAACTGCTCTTTTACGCTTGATTAGGAGTGAGCACACATCACATGGTGTCACATATTTTATGTCTAGAACATCTGTTAATTTGTACAACTAAAGTGATTTTTAAGTACCTATGTCTAGTTAGATTTCAGATGGTAAAATGGCTGCTTTTATCAGCATAAATCTGCATTCTTTAGGATAGCCTTTTTCAGATTTTTTGCTTTTACTCAAATCAGTATGAGTGTTATCAAAACTTACAGGATAATTCTTGGTAGTCCTTTGGTTTCACTGTCCTTAATTTTAACTTAAAAATATGTAATACAGTGAGCTTTATTGTTATTCCTTTTATCCAGTTTGAACAAAAAATTATTTTAATTAATTTATTTATTATTTTTTGTTGAGTTTTGGGTTTCTCACAGTGGCTGAAGGGTACTGTCTTTTGGGATGTGCTGCTGTGATATCCCAGAATGTTGCACTGCTGATAATATTTTTGTTTTAGACAAATACTTGATGTTTTAGTCTTCACTAAAAAAAGAAATATGTCATGATACCGAAAATTTCCTGTAAGCTCGGGGTTACTGGTGTTTCTGAGGGTCTGAGTCTCATGTTATGAAGGTAGGTGCTTGATTAAAAATGTTATTTTGGCTTGTAATTTTCTCTTTTCATGTACAGACAGATGTTCCTGCTAGGTACACTTACATGGCTAAACTTATTTATGCCACAGAGGACCGCCTGTATGTGGCAGATTCATCCCTCCTGCAAGTTAACTGTCCAGGTTATGTAATTATATCTGTAAAGCCTTCATGCTTCACACCATCACAGATGACTGATAACAGAGCAGCAGTTCTACTTCTGCAAGATATTCTTTTAGATAAAGGTACTGTATGTTTATTTTCCCTGACTGGAAGATGGGCAATGGATGAAGTAACAATTAATAGTTTTAAATGATATTTTTAGTATGTTTTACTTTAGTTTCTGGATGGGGCACGATAATTAATAAGATATAATTTAATTTCTACAGGAAATCTGAATGCAGACAAGTACAGCCGGCTTACTCCCATTTCCAATGATACAGTAAGGGAAGCGGATGCATGGTTTCCATTGATACCTGTTCAAGAGTTAAATTTAATTTCAAATATGAAAATTATTTTGCCAAACTTAACATCAGTGTCTGTTGCCAAGGAGCTTGTCACAGTTACCGGTTAGTTCTCTAATTCATTCCTCTATTAAAATATATTTTTATATTCTGCTAAACCTATAGAACTGTAGTGACTGAAATTAGGCCATAACTGTTTCCTTTCAAATCCTTTCCAGTTCATTATTCAGTGTTATGCTATCTTTTCACACTGTATAGCATGCATTCATGACAGTCTCATGAAATACACTATATATAAGTAAATAAACAGTCACATGTTCAGGTGCTGTTTGTGTTTCAAACAGGTTCATCCCCTTTTAAGGATGAACTAAATGTGTAATGCAGTGGTGACCCCTCAGAATGACTATATTCAGCCAGAGACAAAACAGTCTGACTGTAGTTTAGTTCTTGCATATTAAATGCCTTTCTCCAAACCTGTTCATTGGATTTTTAACCTACTTTCCTTACTTTGAAAAAAATAAAAAGAGGCTTATGAGACTTATTACATCACCTTGCTATCTGTGCGCCCCCCCCCCCCCCCGATTTTTGTTAAAAAGGCTTTTGAGATCATTTTGCTGTCTGGCTTCACCCTCCCAAATTTTTTTTATTTTATATTTGGTCTGTGTCATATCAAAAATGAAAGCAGTTAAGATATATATTTTTCTTGATTTGATGTTGATATTGATATTTTCATATGCTTTGGTTGCAGGAACTGTTAGAGGTGTAGATGAAGAAACAGCATTTGTCTGGCCAGTGTGTGGAATTTGTGAGAATGATTTGCTCATAGAACTAGGACCTAATGAATATCTGTGTCAGAAATGTAATTCATCTTCACAGACTTCCACTAAAATGTCTCTGGAAGTCTTTATATCTTGTCCTGAAATCCCAGAACCATGCAAAGTCAAAGTGAAGGTAAGGCCATGGGTGTAATTGCAAAACAGCCTGTACATTTCTACATACCAATGTTATTTGCCTTATTATTCAACATGAAGTTGTATAACATGCAAGATCATGGTTTTCTGGAATATAATGCCTTGTAGTTTGGTAGATAGGTAACAGGATTACAAAGGAATTCGCTGCCTCCATTCTCAGAGTTGAAGAGTAAGTTGTGGTGTGTGACATCACATCCCGGAAAAATGTAACCTTAATATTTGCAACCTTTAGAGCCATTGATCTCATGCAGTGCAGCACATTTTTCTGTCAGTCTTTTTATGTTTATAGTGAAACCCATATTTAATATTTCTTGGTTTAAGAATTTACCTCCTTTAATGTTCAATTTCAGTGCTCTTAAATCGATACCCTGAGTATTAAGTTGCTTCTATTTAAGATTTTAATCAGTTTAATGTTCAAATTCACAGCTCCCCAAAGAAAACTTAAATGAGAATTTCACTTATTTGTGTGTGTGGTAAGAATCATTGATCTGTTTATATCAAATATTATTTTCTCTTAACAGCTACAGCAGAACTCGATAGTTGATATGCTTCCAACATCACAAGAGAACAGTCAGGTAACTATTCTGTCATTCTTCCTCTCTTACCATTTCTTAAAATGCTAGGTGATATGTCACACACGTACATTTTAGGTTACAAAATTTTATATTTGAGTTGAACATATATCATTTAGTGCAGACATTGATTAACGCATCTTATAATTTCTATTTTGATAGGGTTACCCGTTATCATCGGTGCTTGATCATGCTATTGGGCCACTTTGCTGCATAGTGGTGAGAGGTGGAACTAACAATTTCATATTGAATGAAATACCTACACTAAGATGAAGTCTTCATGTTGGTTATTATGAGTTCAGACATATTTTTGTGCTGGAAATACAGATACTAATGTTAACTCGAAATGTATTTAACATGTAGAAATAAACATTCACCTATTTTATGTTGTTTTCTTTTTGTGTGTGTGTGTGTGTTTTGAGCTGCCATGAACATTGTCACCTGCATTAAATTACAGATATGTTGAATGCGAGTATATTGTTGTTCCAAAAGTATGTGTAATGCTTATTTAATTTTAGAATTTATATTCATTTTGAATAAGGCATAGTGACAGACAAAAACATTATTGTCTGTGTGGGGAGATATTTATTTAAGCTGTGGTCTGTAAGTGATGACAGATTTATTGATTACAAATACATTCATTTTATAGCAATTGGTGCGATTGATTTTGTCGGAAACTTGGGGACTTGGACATCAGCTTCCATCTTCAAGTGTAGGGAGATCTCAAGGTGCAGCCACTGCATGAAGGAACAAGTTGGAAAGTGTGCACTTTAATTTTAGTCTAGATACTAAGGGAAATACGAATAGTTTTGTGTTTGAATGTAAGGACATCAAATTATGCTGCTGAGTTTAATAGGTAACATATACAGTTTTATTCTCATGTGTAAAGTCGAAATTTGAGGATGTCAGCAAATGATGAATCCCTGCGGTTGTAATCTGGAACACAAATTTGAAATAGTATTATGCTCGATGCTTCTACGTGAGTATATTCCGTTCTGGTCCTGTTCTTGACTACTACAAAATATGATTGTTAACAAAGCACACACAAAGACATAGGAGAAATATAACACTTGAGTACATGAATTTACTTAATTGTCTTACCTGGATTCTTATGTCTTCTTTATATAATGAAGAAGAACTGAAAAAAAAAAATGTAGAATAAAGGACGGGATGTGATACCTAAAAATACTAGATTTTTTAATAATATTGTTAAACGCTTTAGCACATATTGGTAAATATATATTGTTTCTTCAGATGTATGATATATGGACTTTGATTCAAGAGCTTAAACTCATACGTTTTGAATCGAGGTGTTTATGTGTTGGCCAAATATAAACTCAGAATTACTGCGTTTTTGGACTTTCTCCATTGTCCGGAATTCTAGGTAACAAGAAGACACGACGTTTCGGAAACTGGATCTGTTTCCGTCTTCAGGTGAGAAAGGAAGATGGAAACATCCAGTTTCCGAAACGTCTTGTCCTCTATTACCTAGAATTCCGGACGATGGAAATTGTCCAAAACCTTGTAATTCTGTGTCATCCACAATCGTCAGAACCCTTTTTATCTACAAATATAAACTGTGTTTTAGATCTGGTCGTTCTGAACAAAACGGGTAATGGTTTGGTAATATTCACCGATATATAAGAATTGTATGGTGTTTATGGTTTATAACAAGATATTTTTTTATTTTGAAACGTTTTATTTAGTCATATTACAAGGCTTGATCCTATGTTCTCTCTTCCCNCTCTTCCCCCCCCCCATCTTTATATACACGTATAAATTATAAGCTTGAGATATATCATTGTCATCATGCAATTTCATGTTACCATAGCAACGAATTGTCGAGTGTTAACACGTTGCATGAGCGTAAGTTATGTACGAGAAATATGTCACGAAAGAGCGAGCGGTCTTCTGTTTCGGAGCATCGCGTATATTCTGTGAATATTGATAATATTTTATGTGTACATGTAACGTGTTGTATACTGTATGTTTTAAAATTGATTATTTGTGGGATATGGCGTTAAAAGTTGACCTGAACATATCATTTTGTAACATATATCTCAACAGATTTTCTGTAACTGCCCTTACCTCAGGATCGCTTTTATAAAAACATTGATTCAGCTTCATTGCTGTGTCCGGAGCACCGCTGCCACCTGTAGAACAAGAAGTAAGTTTCAATGCAGTGTCATCATATGACAACATGGTTATTTTGAAAGTTTTCACTCGCTGAATGAATTTAATTATCCTGCTTAGTCAATATTTGAGGATGATTCAAGCTCTGAACTTCGGTTTGTAATGCTGGAATTTCAAGGCCTAACTTAAATTTCATAGTGTTCAAATTATAGGGTAGAATTTTCTGTCCTCATAAATGATCTGCGAGTTGTGTCATTCATAATTACGTGTAATTTTCAAGCATAGCTTCTGACTTATTAAAGAGTTAATTTTACATAAGCTGGATTTGAGGTTGTCACGGCGGTGGCTTTTACATAAGCTGGATTTGAGGTTGTCATGGCGGTGGCTTTTACATAAACTGGATTTGAGGTTGTCACGGCGGTGATTTTTACATAAACTGGATTTGAGGTTGTCACGGCGGTGACTTGTACATAAGCTGGATTTGAGGTTGTCACGGCGGTGACTTTTACATAAGCTGGATTTGAGGTTGTCACGGCGGTGACTTGTACATAAGCTGGATTTGAGGTTGTCATGGCGGTGGCTCTTACATAAGCTGGATTTGAGGTCACGGCGGTGGCTTTTACATAAGCTGGATTTGAGGTTGTCATGGCGGTGGCTTTTACATAAACTGGATTTGAGGTTGTCACGGCGGTGACTTGTACATAAGCTGGATTTGAGGTTGTCACGGCGGTGACTTGTACATAAGCTGGATTTGAGGTTGTCACGGCGGTGACTATGAACATCGCGCTCGTGTGGGTTGTAACACGGTTTAGTTTGGAGAGATCTCGACGGGCTAAAAGTAAGTGTAGCACGAAACCAACAGAAGCACCAACAAACTCAGTGTTATTTTCCCCCAAAACATCGGGATCCCTCTGAACTCTATGGCGTTACAACCCGCAAGAATGTAAGCCTACTATTCGACTTTATATAGCGTTAATAATAGTAAGACGATGAGCTAAAAAAAAAAAAAAAGGGATGTGGAAAGAAGCGGTCGTGACGTAATTAGGAGTACTATCCTAGCGGTTGCCTGGAGGACTGAAGACAAATTATAATCTATGTGGTGTATTTACGGGTCAGTATTTGAACCCAGGATCTCATGCATGTGAAACTGGGATGCTGTCCACTCTATTATTACTTTCAGTATCAGACCTTCAAATAATTGTAAAATCAAGGAATGGATAATATTGTTCCTGTGTTTAATTAAGCACCACTCCGTGAAAACGTATGGGGAAATAAAGGTATGGCTCCGTGTATTCCAAACCTTGGCGGTGTAGGAAGGTGAGTTTAACTTCACGACCAAGCCGTTTTATATCTAAAGAAAATTCCCGGTTTTCATCGAATAGAGGCCTTGATTGTCCCCCAAATCATTCAGGACTCTGTGGAATACGTAAAAATCTCTTTCCCCTGTCGAGAATCCCATTAAGATTTTATTTCCAGCTCTATTTTCCGTAAAACGAATAATATAAATACACAATGAGCACCCAGGTTCATTCTGCGTTCATTGAAACAAAATCTCAGTAAAAGATTTAATGCCTATACTCACTGACGGTCTTGCAGGCCTCAATCATCTTGCCCCCTCTCTCCTGCATGCTCTCTGGAAGCATACTGACCATAGTGTCCATATCAGGCACACCAGCATCATCCATCTGCAACATGGAGTCAGCAGCAGAATTAAAACATGAGCGTTATGCATTATGTCCTTGTTAAGCGGTGCAATTTAGCGACAAAGAGAGGAAGTTCTGGCATTTAAAGTCCAAAAATACAGAACAATAGACTCACATGAATTAAAACACTCGTATACAAGATCGTGTTAAGTCAACATGTTCAGGTACTTTGGCTGATCATTTATATGTAGAGGGAAAAGATGCATATGCTAAACTCTCTAGATTTTTAAAAGTATTGACCTAATGGCCCAACTATTTAAGTCATAAATATGTTAGAAACATAAAGGATAAAAATGGAATGTTACCCTAGTGAATGGACATTTAAATCACAACATAACCAGAATTACGGGTGTCTAAATTGAATTTCTGAGACGAACGAAAAAAATAATCTTAAATGGACCATGAATGAAAGAGAAACACGAAAATAACTAAAAAATAAATCAATATTAGAGAAAATTTCGATATATGAAAGCAAATGGATTTTATAGGTTGACAAAATAATAAGACGCTGTGTGCATATACGCTTTGCTATTCTGTCATGGCCTACTTGAAGTCACTGTCCCACAATTCAAATGAAGAGAGTGAAGAAAATCACAAGAACCTCCTCAGAGATGTAATTTTTTTAATTCGCTTAGTGGGGTGGGAGTGGAGTCCAACTGGGTCCACCCGGCACGGCGGCCACTGATTGGCCTATTGTAGCCTGCCCCGGGTGATCATGATGATGGAGAATTTGATGGAATGAAGATTGGCAAGGGAAAACGAAGTACTCTGAGAAAAGCCGCCCCAACGCCACTTTGTCCACCCCAAATCCCACTTGACGAAATCCGGGCCGCCGCGGTGGGAAGCCAGCGACTAACCGCTTGAGCTATGGCGCGGCCTATGAGAGATGTAACTTGACCGGCGTTTAAACCGTGTGCCTCTACAGGAACCAAGATTTTATTGAGATTCTGTGTACTTACGGCTCCTATTTGCTGGAAGGTACATGCCATGTACACCTGGAAAAGAAATCAGTTTGTTAGGTTTAAGTAGTTTCACAAGAATTTCCGGAAATTTCGGGTCCATGCAATGCCTAGTTCTTCACCAGGTGCTTCAGTACGTACAGTGAGGCTAGTCATGATATGTCTAACTCGTATCTGAATGACGTCTTACCCTGAGCATGCAAACTTATAGAAGAAACGACTCATATGTTCGACAAGGTCTCCGGCAGGCCGATTCTGTTTTCCGCCTTGTGTTGGAAACCGAATATAGCGAATTTCGAGCGATATACCGCAAGCAGGAAGGTCGCTGAAGGTCATTGAATTTTTTAATTGACCTAATCCTTCCAGCCGCACTATGTCCCTGGGGTCGACTCAGCCTCTAACAGAAATGAGTACCAGGAATCCTCCTGGGGGTAAAGAGTGGCAGCAGCGTAAGGCTGACAACCTCACCGCACTCTGTGAGCCGATTGTCTTGACCTCTCACAACCCTTTGGGCCTCCACGGCCTGTTACAGGGATAGCTTTGCATTCTTTTTAGCTTTCAAATAATACTATACGTCATTAAACTATGATGACGCACACTAAAAATATTTTTAGGAACATTCTAACATAAAATATATATTATCACTAATAAATTAATCACGTGATGTATTTACCTTCAGTTTTTCATCTTCTGCAAAGTCACCCTTGACGGCTTTTTTGATGAGGCCTGAAAATAGTGAAACAATTAAATATAATGGTTTCTTCCAGTTTCAATATTTTTCATGAAATATGGCTGGGTGATTTCGGAAAATCAGTAACCGAAGCTTTAAGAGGACATGGAGAAGGTTTAACTGCTGTGGCTGAAAGATGTAGAGAATGATTTAAGGGAGCTGCAAACGAAGAGGTGGAAGTAAGAGGCAGTTAATCGAGATGGACATTATCGTGAATGGGGGAAATGCTCTTAGAGGACCGTAGTTTCAAGGAACAAGTAATTATAGAACGAATCAGATATATTGGGTTTGAGGCTTCCACGGTGGTGACCATGAAGTGTATGGTCCTCTTGGTTTTAACACTGAGTAGTTAGGAGAGAACCCAATGTTTCGGAAGAACATACATCGTACTTCAGGGTCGAAAGTAAGCATTGACTTTTGTTTCTGCTGGTTTCTCGCTTGACTTCATCTTCGATCCTGAAGATGGAGGCAATAGTTTCCTCCGAAACATCAGGTTTTTCGAATCAAATGTAATTCTATGATAGTACTGTGACTAATGGTGTACGTGCAGAGGGAACGGCAGCAGAACTCTGGACAGAGAGAAACTTACTTTCGTCTGCACCACTTTCTCCGAGGCAAGTGTCTCGCAACATTCTAAGCATCGATTTCTGATCTTCGTCGAGCGAGTCAAACTGCAAACACAGGGGATACATAGTTGCAGTATGTAAATATGTATTTATTCATTCCTATAGAACTCGATGTTTTTTGTTCGTCACATGTCGGGATTTGTAATTCATTTATTTTACACAGAGGAGTGTAGCAAAATACTTGTATCAACGAAAGAATGAACACAGATTTTCCTTCTCCATTTACACAACTTTTCAGACTTATTGCTCTCTCTCAGTTTTGTTATCGGCTTTGACGGAGGGGATGCATGCAATGGAGGTAAATTTTGGCAGCAGACGGCTGGTTTAAAATTCCACCAATCCTGTTCGTCCTTTGAATGACCCACACACAAGCTAGGGGCTGTATGACTAAAAAATAGGCAAAATATTGTTTTATCTAAAACACTGTCTTGTTTTTTATTTAAACACAATATTTCAGAGGCTGGATCCGGTCTCTGTCTTCAGGTAAAATCTACTCAGTTCGTCCCAATCCCTAGAGCTAGTCCCTGTCTCCGGAAATTGGGAGACAGAATCCAGTCTCTGAAACGTTTTGTTTTGAAAAATAAACAGGACGATGGTTAAGGTCCAGAAACATAGTATTTGTACTAATTTACAATCGTCATAAACATTCAGATTTTAATTAAAAAAATAAGGAGTTGATTTTTCATCTTTGCTATTTAACCTAGTATCTGGAAAGGGGTGTCTTTCCCTCGGGGCAAATAAACAGGGACGGGACGGCAATGAGAAAGCAACTTTCACGTATTTTTTTAACAATCATTGTAAGGAGACATCTTTACGACAGGTTATGACATGATGTATTTTCCTTTTTATTTATTTTAAAATTAAGCAAATGTAGTTCGATTAGTACAAACGAGGAGTACTACAATTTTATGCGTGTTATAATCCAAGACAGGCCGCTCTTGTGCGGAAGTACAATTTTGTTTATACAGTATTCCCCCCCCCTTGGCACTACAGCCCCAATGGGCCTAGGTCTGCCTCCGTGAACTTCTCCGTTCACTTCGGTTTACTAGATCTTACACGTTCGGTAGGACTCCTTGGGCGGGTGATCAGCTCGTCGCAAGGCCTCTACCTGTACACAAACACAGAAAAACGCACACACACAAACTAAACATCCATGCCCTGAGTGGGATTCGAACCAACGATCCCGGTTTCCAAGCGAGCAAAGACAGTGCATGCCTCAGACTGCTCGGCTACCGTGACCGGTGTTTATACAGCATACCCCAGAATAATTCTATTCTGAAGATTGTGTGTTCGAATCCAAGGGCCTAGTCGAGTCAATACTAGGTCAGACACCCTGAACATTAAAATGAGTTTATCAAATTGCATCGCAGTTTCTTTTCTGCAAGGGCACGCAAATTAAAATATGTAACATATGAAATTATGAACCTGTGAATGAGGAAACTGGAGGACATAAGTAGCTCAGTTTCTTAGGACATGAACAGTGCTCACTTGCCTGCGTGTTCATGAATAATTAGTTAATCCAAGTTAGGTATTAATTTTTGTGAACCTTGTAGACGAGGGCCGCGGAATTTTGATTAATTTCGAGTTATGTAATCTGGAAGAGTAATTTTCGAAAAAAAGAAATTTGGGACTTCCAGAACAAGGATTTCAATTCTGAATTTAAAATAGGAGGCCTGCGTAGAAAGTAGCAACTTGGAACTTGGAACTTGGAAACATTCTCAGCGTAGAATAAGACGCAGTTATACTAACCAGATCTGTTTCTTCTCTTTGTTACTACGGACCGAGGGGAGAACACCAAAATACTTGAAATTTACTGCATATTATTACCAGTATGTACAGTAGCTGTTAAAGTGGTATAGAAATATTTTTCTATGATTCTTTTAACGAATTCGAATCCTCATTCCCATATTCTTTTTCGATTACAAGAGCAAATTAAATTTTTTAATTCGATTGTTACTCATTCATGACTCGACAAAGATACTTAACATGTACTGGACTATGGATGGCTAGTGGTGTTTACTTTACGTATAAAATTGGCAAGGATTTTAATGGAATATTTGAAACCGTGTATTCAGTAATGTAACAACATTTAACACGAAACCAGAATCGATACTTACACGAGAATCACCGCTGGCTGCAGCCACGCAGAAAATGAAGATGGCAGTTGGAAACAGAAGCATAGCTAACCTTAAAGCCTTCCAGAGCCGTATGAAAGAGCAATACGCGACACTGCCACTAATGCCGGTCCTCATATATATTTCAGAGGAGCCCCAATGTCTGTCATTACGGGACGATGAAACGCCCCCGATGAAGGCCACTAACGATATGGAAATATTGCTACTTTTATACACCAAGCTATCCGACGGAGATTTTTTTAATCTCTGATTAATTTCAAGTCACGATAAGGACTGACCTTACATATATTTTGTTTCTCGCTCTTGGATTTGAAGCCCAAGTATAATTAAAATGATGAAGTCAAGGAGGATGAGGTGAACAGGGCATGTAGCACGAATGGGGGAGAAGAGGAGTACATATAGGATATTGGTGGGAAAACCAGAAAGAAAGATACCACTGGGAAGACCAAGGCGTAGGTGGGTGAGCAATATTAAAATGTCTCTTAGAGAGATAGGATGGGATGGATTGGATTGATCTGGCTCAGGGTAGGGATCAGTGGAAAGCTCTTGTGAACACGGTAATGAACCTTCGGGTTCCATAAAATGCTGGAAAAATTCTTGAGTAGCTGCAGATTTGGCTTCTCCTCAAAGGCTCAGCTCCATAAGTAAGTAAGTTGGATTTCAAGTTCTGTCAGCGGTGATTATAAGACGGTCTGTTCTCGGACATAACGCCGTGTAATCTGTTGAAAGTCAACAGATGTTTTGGAGGAATATGTCACCTCCATCTTCAGGGTCTGCTTGCTACCTGAGTCATACTTGTTTGTGCCTTAGCTTCTCTTTCGACCCTCTGATAAGTCCGTTGACTTTCAACTGACTACACGGCGCTATGTTCCAGATGAACGAATTCTCAGTTTTTTCCTATTTGCCAGATCTGAAATATTTGGTGAGCTAATACCTTTATATGGCAAATGTAAAACTGTCCCTACGCTTAATTAACAACCACGCCATGAAGACGTATGGGGAAATGGAAATATAGATGTAAAAATTCTTAACTTTAACACTGGTTAGAGTTATGAGATTCACGTCCTCGTCGTCTTAACCCAAGGAAAAGAGTACCTGGTACTCATTTTATACGAGGCTTGGTAGGGCTCAGATTCTGAAGAAGTCAAAATTAAGGTAAAACTTAATCAAACTGAGACACGAAAGAAGAAGGCAGCCTTCTGGGATGTGGCACCGTGTATATGTGGTGTTAACCGACGTTTCAGTTGTTTGTACCGGTTCTCACGGTCTCTTCGCTCGCGGATTTCTTATTTTTCCTTCTACCCTGAAGATGGAGGCGATACGTTCCTCCGAAACGTCGGTTAACACCACATCTACACGGTGCCACATCCCAGAAGACTGCTTTCTTTATAGTCACCGCCGCGAAAACCTAAAATCTTACAAACGGTCTGAAAAATTTTGTTCATATCAAAAAGGATCAAATATATACCATTTTTTGCCTCTAAGCGCCATGCTTTCCAGTCAGTGAGACAACGAATTGCTAAGCTAAACATGCTACTCTATGAATATATCAAATTTCCTATTCTTCTGATGAAAGCGACATTTTGTGACGTTTCCGTAATACCTAAATTTTTTACTGCATGATAGGACATTTGTCGTTCTACCTGAACTTTATACTGTAGAACTTTTTGGAGGGAATATTTCTCTTGCATTTTAAGTTCTTATTGCACTTTTATATATTATTTGCGTACGAACACGCAAAATATCTCAACCTAAAATGGCGGCTTAGCAGCGTGGAAATTAAAACTAGCACTTTTAGGATGTTAAACAAAATCTTATATTATAATAATTTTAATGTATCGTCAAATCTGCTTCTCTGTCTCAGGATCGTCTCTCTTATGAAGTTTTTCAACAATTTTATATGCATTTCTTTTTTCGCTCCATGTATATTTTGTTTTCAGTCGTTCTACTTCTTGATTACATTCCTTAGAGGGCAGTGGTTATTATATTAAAGTAAATAAAGAACTAAAAGCATATAATATACTGATATGTGTATCTTAGTTTATTCAGTGCTACTACATCTTTTATAAGATCAGTGTACATATCAATTTTGCAAGGAACACATTTACCCTCTTCTAGGCAAGTCTCTGTTCCACTAAATGCTGAACCATCGCTCACCGTGCGCAAATAACATTAGCTAGACCGAGTAGTAGATTTCATTTTGTACAATTTCATAAATATGATATATATATATATGTATTGTTGACTACAGCGACCAAACGTTTCTCTCTATCGCCACCTCAGAACAGGCTCTCGGAGTCCTGGAACAAGCACAATGAATGGATTTACGCTCTGCTACCATTTATGAATTGTACCTGACTTTTGCAAGGAAAAGTAATTTTTTTTTACATGGACGTCGGCGGAAGAGAGGGAAGGGTAAAATGCTTTTATTTTTTAGAAAAAATATTATTCTCTTCTGAATACTTTAGAGTGATAAGTAAAACTAATCTTAAATGTGATTTTGGTTTTTTATGTGCCGTCTATGTGCAACGTCTTTCACTATTGCTTTATTTGACAAATAGATAGCATTGAAGCTCCAAAAGTCAGATCTGTACAGTGTCACAGGATGCTGAAATATAATATTATAATCTTAAATGGCTTAAACATAAATTGGTAAGCAAATAAGGCAAAGTTGTCCCTGTAATTAACTAATTAAGCACTAGCCATGAAAGCGTGTGGGGGACTGGATATATAGATCCAAATTTTCTTGACCTCGGTACTAGGTGGAGGTGAGTGGTCAGCTTCATGCCTCTGCCGCTTTAGCTCCAGGGAAAGAGCCCCCGGTACCCATTGGATAGAAGGCTGAGTGGGTCCCAGAGCCAGTTTGGACGACATGGTGTAGAGAAAATTCTTGACCCTACCAGGACTCGAACTCCGACCCCATGGTCGCCAGCCCGTAGCCAGTCGCTATACCGGCTCATAATTGGTAAGCAAATTGTCTGTAAAACTGACTGTCCTCCGTGGAAGACTGACTTCCTCCTTTGAAAGGCTGGTCCCCTCTTGGAAAAGCAACCTTGCGGCGTCCATGGTGGTCTACGTTTATGTGCCTAAGTGCATGGGAAGTAAGCGCTCATGCGCTGTGGGTGTCTTACCTCGGTCGACTGGTCAGATTCCTCTAGAAGATGAAGAAAAACTGGAATGGAAGAACGAATTCAGTCACTTCAAGGTTACTGAGTTCTGAGACGTCGCACCGCATAGCTTGATTAACAGTGATTCCATTTTAAACTATAAGGCCCAACTGTCAGCTATCATCATCGTAATTATATTATAATATGTACATCCGTTGCTAGGCAACGACCACGAAATAAGCAATTATATAATAGCCGTTACTAAGTAATCGGTCCTGAAATAAGCATATTTCCCTGGCAACAGTTATACTGCAAGAGATGAACAGTGTTTTCAGTGCGGTCCGTGCCGAGATGTTATAACTAGGAAAAGCCAGCCTCCCGTGTGGAGGCGGGGTCGAATACCTCCACCGTGACCCTGCGAGTCGTAGGAGGTGACGAAAAGGGAAGTCTCAGTTCTGAGACAGTAAAATATGGTCGCGAGTCCCAAGGGACTCGGACCCGAGAAAGACTGCACTGGCAAGGACCAGCAGCATATACAAAAGACAGACCCGTCCTCTTGTCAGAGGAGGCGCCCCACATAAACAAGACCGTAACTGTCAAACGGTAATAATTAATATCTGGTCATGAGCCCCAAATGGGGCTCGACACTAAGACTTACTGACTGACCGTCAGTCTCAACGTGACTTTGACTTGAGATGAGTTAGTCAGTGGATGTGGGTGGTGAGTGAGTGAGTTAGTTAGATAACCGCTGGGGTAGAGTCATTGTGAGCTGTTGCTGTTAGAAGCTGGTAACTGAGGCACGGTGACAGTTCGAGAACCCAGAAGAAGCGGAATGTCCGCTGTTGGAAGACGCCATCAAGCAACGGCTAGCGAAGACTGCAACAGACTGAGAAGATCTAGTGTGTCCTATAGTGATTTGTGAAGTGTGTGGAACAGTGAGAGCATGATCCCTACATGTAGTTACGAGTTGTAAAATCCGAATAAATCCGATCACCAATCCAAACCCCGTCTATAGTCACTCTATAATCCTGACAATATAGAACCTAGTTTGATACAGGCCTATGTTTGTTTCCTTGAACATTCAAAGGATGAGGACCGCGGCGGATAATTTGAAATTAGACTTTCCTTTGCACTGTTAACGGGAATTACATTAGTAATTTACAGCAAGAACCCTATGCTCCTAATCAATATAAAAAGATAAGGCTGTCCCTCTGCTTAATTAATTAATCACTATGCTATGAAGCCATATGGAGAAGTGGAGGTATAGCTCCACAATTTTTGACCTCGGCACTAGACGGAGGTGAGTGGTCAGCGGCCCCGGCCGCTCTACTCCCAGGGAACGAGCCTCTGATAGCCATCGGATAGGAGAGGCCGGGTGGGCCTCAGAGCCGGTTTGAACGCTGTGGAGAGAAGAAAGTTATTGCCCCTGCTGGGATTCGAATCCTGGCAGTTCAGCCTATAGCACGTCGCTATAGAGACTGAGCTTCCCAAACTTAAAACAATTAGATAGTTTTTCACTTTGTGTTCTCACATCAACATATTTTTGAAAAATATTAATTTTGGCACCAACTCAATTAATGTGTTTCTGAATATCTAGAGCTGCTCTGCACTGAACGGAGATTCAATCCGCACAGCACAAACAGTAACTTGACATCAAACCACCAGAGAACGTTCAAGACATTATTATGAATATTTTAAAATTCGGATGGTCACTTCAGAAAACTTTGGGGCACAATGGTGCTCTTGAGTATACGGTCCGAGGTCCCTAGTTTGAACTTCACGCTTACCTCTGGGTCTGCATTGTAGAGGCACTTGTTGAGTTCGAATGCTGTGGCTGCAGCGCTGCTCTCTTCTGCAGAATAAAACAGAAATACGTCACTCGAACCAATTATTGCAATGAAATATTTAAGACGACACAACCATTCATTCATGTATGTAACCAAATGATTAAAACTCCTGGAGGTCTAATCACTTTAAAGTGACAGAAGCGGTGGAAAGTTCTATGCAAGATTTGAGGTTCCCACTGTGATGAGTGTGAAGATTACTGTCATTAGACACATCATCCTTCGACACTCGGTTTAATTTCTACCCTGAAGATGGAAAAAACAGATTCATTCGAAGCGTTTATACGCGTGAAATGCACGTCAACATATCTAGATGACAGCAATCTTCAGACACCAAACAAATTATCACAGCAGAAACGTTTATTTAACATTGTTCGAAGTGCTGAGTTCTAACCCCGGAGAGACAAGGGCAACGTTGCTTTTCCATTTGACATTTAAGGACATTTTCAGTATCGCGATTATACAGTGTAGGATTCTGGGATGTCTGATGGACTGGAAGGGATCAGGAATGAATCGGTCTTGTCCTAATCGTTGTACTCTCCGAGCATGAGCCTGAAAGGCTGAGGAAAACCACGAAATACCTCATTCAAGATAGCAGGTGTCTTGGCCGAGTTTCGAACCAGGCGTCTCCTTTATATAAATCTGGAGATTTACCGGTTGGCCATTTTATTCGGCTTAAGAGAATTATGTTTAGGGTTTCAGAAGGACCAGCTGTTTGAAACTCATGGTAGAATTTCTATTCTGGTAATCATTATGGTGCCATGACGCACAAAAACAGAATCTTCGTTTTCATGACCAGGAATCGTGCTAACATGAGAAGGAATGTGAATTCTGTATACAGATATATGTCTTTTAGTTTACTTTCATTATTTTGAAGAAATCAAAAGAGGCTTATGATATCATCTTGCTTTCTGTGTTTCTGTGTGCATATCTGTGTGTCTCTCTGCGTATACCCTCTAATTTTAAAGGAGCTGATTAGATCACCTTGCTGTTTGTGTGTTTCAGCCTAATTAAAAAACAGAAGCTTATGAGATCATCTTGTCTGCCTACCCGTTTGTGTGTCCCCCTATATTTTCGTTTTCTATGCTGTCCGTTTCGTATTAAAGGAATTACAAAATTTTAATTTGTATCATGCATACAAGTTAGTGGACACCAATGTTGTGACATCCAAGTAGCTCGTCACACCTACGCACCGGGTTTCTTTTCGTCGCCTTGTACAGAGCGTTCAATGATCGAGGAAACCTGGCTGCAGCGTGGACCCACAGGGATATACGGTGGAGGTATTCTAACCCTTCTTCACACGGGGGAAAGGAGGAAAAGTATCAGAATTATTTCGTCTAATAATTTTGTGTTCCGTTTCTTCAAATCATTTCATAAATAGAAGAAAGTCCCATACTTTGTTAGAGATTGACAGAAGTGACATCATAATTCGAAGAATATTCTTAATTTTTCTCTAGGGAAATATTGTACGGAATGTTGTCGCTCTGTACGAGCCGTATACTCACTGACGTGTCGACACTTGCTGATCATTTTGCCTCCGCGGTCGGCGATGACGTCAGGTAACATACCGATGATGGTGTCATAGTCTGCCACGCCATCATCACCCAGCTGAAACAAACACATGAATGCAAACGTAGACACTTCAGTGCTATTGCCGGACAGGCCGGTTTAGAGCTGTGGTCTCCACAGGCGTGTCGCGAGGTTCTACTAATTGTGGCTCGAGGTTTTGAAGAGAAGACTGATTACGTAAAGTACATTATGGTAAAGGCGAAGGTATCCGTGTAACAAGCAATTAAGGCCCGTAGGGTTGTGAGACGTCGACGTCGAGGTTCCCACATTTTCTAGAAAATCCCCTGAAAGATGGCGGTGAGGTTGTCAGCCTTATGCGCCAGCCGCACTTTACCCCCCCAGGAAGATTCCTGGTACTCATTTCCGTTAGAGGCTGAGTCGACCCCAGGGCCATAGTGCGGCTGGCACCAGACATCTGCTCCTCATGAATTTTGGGGAAAAAATAAAACGTTAAGAAATGGAATATTAATATCAACATTTAAAATAATGTAAAGTAAAGTATTCTTCTGTCCTAAATACATCTCATTTAGCGGCTTTTTCAACTAAGTGACTTCATGGAGCTGAGCCCTTCTGGAGGAGCCGCCAATTCTGCAGCTATTCAAGAACTTCCCAGCACTTTATGGAACCCGAAGGTTCNTCTCAACACCCTGTTCTCAAAGACCCCCAGTCTATGTGCTTCCCTTAATATCAGAGACCAAGTTTCACACCCATACAGAACCACAGACAAAATTATAGTTTTGTATATTCTAATGTTTATGTTTTGAGACAGCAGACGAGAAGCCAAAAGGTTCTGGACTGAATGGTAGCAAGCATTACCCGAGTTCAATCTCCTCTTAATTTCTCCTGAATCAGGTTTTGATCTGTTATCGTCGTTCCCAAATATCTGAACTGTGCCACATTTTCAAAACATCTGTTTCCTATCTTCAAGTCATGATTTAGCCTTGCATTTTGGTGACGAGACAGTAACACTTACTTAGTTTTCTCTGTGTTTACTTCTAGACCAACCTCTTTACTTGCGTCAATTAAAGTTTATGTGTATTTCTTTATGGTATCTACACTATCACCCAGTAGATTCACAGCATCGGCATAGGCCAACAGCTGATGTGTCCCGTTTAATTTCAGCCCTACCTGGTTTTCCTGGACTTTCCTAATGGCATATTCTAAAGAAAAGTTGAAAAGCAGTGTCGATACAAGATCCCCTTATTTTAGACCATTTTGTATAGGAAAATTATCAGACAAATATTCACCTACACGGACTTTGCTATACTTTTCATTTAAACACATTTTAATCAGCCTAACTAGTTTCATGGGTATCCCAAATTCTGTGAGAATATTGTACAGTACTTCCCTCCTAACTGAATCATAGGCTTTCTTGAAATCTGTTATCTGTAAACATGTACTAGCATTCTGAATGCCGAAGCAATTCTGGCCCGTTACCGTGGCCCAAATTTTCCAGTTACAGAAGCAGATTTTGAAATTCTTACACTTACCGCTCCGGTTTGCTGATAGACACATCCCAGATATGCCTGAAACAGGAGGACACGCCATTGATTTCGGATGGCAAGAATACTTTGAGGCAGTGAGAGCGAAGTTGATGAATGGAAAGCAAAGAAATGGAGAAGGAATGGAATAGAAACAAAGAAAAAATATAGAGGAAGAAACAAATATAGGATATACAGAGTGTAACTGAAAGCTGCGGACAGATTTTGAGCACCAGTTCCACATACCAAAACAAGAAGAAATGTCCACATCAACATGTGTCCGGAAACATTTCTTTTGTGAATTACAGCTAAAGAGCATTGTGTAGACTCCAGATGCAGTTCGGGGTTAATGTGTTGGCAGGGACTGTTAGTGTTTGGTAGGCCCATACGCTTACAGGCAAGCACTACCGAGATTTCCCCTCACAAGACCTGCCAGAGCTACTGGGAGGTGTACCAGTGGCAGTCACGGCACGAATGTGGTACATGCATGTTGCTGCTCCGTGCTGTGCGAGATGTTCTCAGTAACGGCTGTCATGGCCGATGGCTAAGTAGAGGAGGACACCGCACGGCCTCCACAGTCACCTGACTTGAATCCTCTGGATTTTTACCTGTAGGGACACCTAAAACACTTGTGTATGCAGCTCCTGTTGACAACCAAGAGGCACTCACTGTCGCATTGTGGAGATGATGTCAGTAACGGCTGTCATGGCCGATGGATAAGTAGAGGAGGCAGAGTTCAGTCTTCGAAACACGTTTTCAAACAAAAAGAGGACGATGGATGTCCAAAACTTCAATAATTGTATTAATACACCATGGTCACAAATGTTTAGATCTCAATTACATAATTACGTTGATTACCTGTAGAGAATCGTATCTTTCAGAGCATTATTATCTGGTATAAATTTACTGACGTTTCGGAGAAACCTACTGCCTGCCGAATAAGTTAAGTGAGCAACCAAGATACTTGCCGAAGAATGCCCTCTTTTGGGATGTGACGCTGCGTAGGTCTTGTGTGAACTGACGTTTAGGAGGAACGCGCCTCCTCCGAAACATCGGTTCATACAAGACCTACACGGCGTCACATCCCAGAAGACGACATTCTTCATAGTCACAGCTGTGAAAACCCCAAATCTTACAAAAAAAACTTGCTGTTTGAGTCCTATTGATTTCTTGGATTACTTTTTGACATTGAATATGGAGGCAGTATATTGCACCGAAACACTTCTAAACTTCTACGAGTCTAAATACTTTTCGTGTTTATCACTTTCAGAACCTCAAATATAAAAATTATAATCTTAATTTATTTACTGATTTAATTTAGCTTGTCATTAAAATATCAGAATATTCTGCTCTGTTGAAGAACATTCCCGGTAAATGTGAGGTTATGTTTACCAGGGGAGTGTTTTCTTTAGCTTCGTGAGGTGGTGTGGGGTGAGACAGTCCACTTGGTACGTCCCACACTAACTGGCCCACTGTACCAGCCCCAGATGATAGATGAATGTGGAGCAGACGGTAAAATGAGAATTGGTGAGGGAAACCGAAATACTCTGAGAAAACCTGCTCAATGCCACTTTGTCCAACTTAAAACCCAAAAGACCTGACCTGGGCTCGCCTTCGCTGTAGGAAGCCTGCTACTTACCGCCTGATTTGTGGCATGACCTGGAATAGCTATTACCGCATTGTAAAGCGAAGTTACGTTTATGTTGTCCAACTTCGAGTCATTGTACGAACCCAATGAGCATTTCAATTAACATGATCTGAAATTCTTTATGACGATTAACATTCGGTACATCAGCTTAATATAATCTTTTCCCCTCCATTAAATTCAATGATTTACTGTACCTTGAAATTGTCGTCCTCGGCGAAATCTCCGTGTCTAGCATTGTCGATTTGACCTGAAAAGTGCAGAATTACAAGTTAATACACGCAGGCATAGTTGTACATGAATTTGACAGAGACAACTTTGTACAAGACTTCTCTACCAATACTTAACAATAAAGAACAAGAAGAAAGCAGTCTTCTGGGATTTGGCACCGTGTATATGTGGTGTTAACCAACGTATCGCCTCCATCTTCAGGGTAGAAGAAAAAATATAACAAATCTGCAAGCGAAGAGACCGTGAGAACCGACGGTCTCTTCGCTTGCAGATTTCTTATATTTTTCTTCTACCCTGAAGATGGAGGCGATACGTTCCTCCGAAACGTCGGTTAACACCACATATACACGGTGCCAAATCCCAGAAGACTGCTTTCTTCATAGTCACCGCCGTGAAAGCCTCAAATCTTACAATAAAGAACAAGCTTGGGAATATTTTACGAAAGCACTCCTTGCTATTTTGCTTAGCCTACTACATGTCTTTTTGTTCATTTGTAGTAATTTTAATCCTAATGTTACAAAAGAAATAGCACATAATATTTGATATCTATTTGTTTTAAAAATAAATTTACCGTTATAAAGCTAATCATATATGGCACTTGATAGTCATTTTTTCTAGATATAAACTCAGTGTCAGTGTCCATGATGATATTCATATAGGAAGAAATACTTTCCGAACTTACATCTTACATCGCTGGTACCCGAAACCATAACCTAACTGCAAAACGAAGCGTGCGCTTACTTTCTTGTACTCCTGTCTGGCCTACGCAGGTTTCATGCAGCATGTTCAGCATAGCCTTCGTGTCATCATCAAGTTTGTCCAGCTGCAAAGGCAATAACGATTGGAGAGTTATTTGTGAACGAATATTGTATCAACTGAAAGGATTTATATCATCGAGTGAAACAAATGCACCTACATACTCCTCGAACAAAACCTAAGACACGTCATTATGCAGAAGAAAGGAGACCACTAGGAAAACATAGATGTGCGTGACAGTATAATATTAAAGTGTATATTAGATAAATTGGATGCTATGGACTAGATTTATCTGGCTCTGGATATGGACTAGTGGAGGACACGGCAATGAACCTGCGGATTCCATAAAAAAATATATATATATTAGGAAATTCTTGATCAGCTGAGCAACTGGCGGCTTCTCAAGTAGGATTCGGCTTCATGGAGTTAGTGAATTATATGAAATTCTGAGAGAAACTCACCGGTGAACCAGCCAAAGCCATGCCTACGAAAAGGATGTACGTTGTTGTAAGAAGCGACAGCATTTTGATCTGCAGGCTGTGATCCTGAAAACAAAATGGAGACCTGCTCCACATTACGCGACTGATATACTTCTATGTGAGCACCGAAACTGTTATTACATTGAAGAAACGCCCCTGACAGTCATACGAAGGACATTTCTGTTATGGAAAGACTACAGCTAACCCTATATAAAGAGTATTATTTGAGAGGAGATTGCAATCACGCACATGAACATCAGATTAAAAATTATACTATAGAAGTGGACAATAAAATTCATAAGTAATTCCATGGTATTCAGTTTCAACCATTTCGCTACAAGCCTTACGAAAGCGATGCTACCATTTTTATTATTCATAAATCATTAAGAACATTAGAATATTTGTTATTAAAAACTTTTTTCTTGCAATTTCTGCAGTATTGCAGCGGAAACGGATGGTCTCTTACAGTAACTCCATGTTATAGGGCTTTTATTGAGAATGTTATGACAGTTTGGCTTTAGCGGTGTGTGAAAATTTGCAAATCCAAACATCTCTAATAAAGTGATAGTTTAAAATTCTTCCTGTTCTTAATTAAACTTTCCTGCTATTCGAACTGAAATTATTTGTGGTTTTCGTCTATTCCTCCGAGCAAATGCCATGATAGGGCCTCAAATTAGGCCACGACCGCGTCCTTTGTCATCGATTCCTAACTACTATTCACGAATCAAAGCCAAATCTACTTCACGACTGGCGGTTTACCCCCAATCAGTTTGTCTTGGCGTCAAGCCCCTTGAGACTCACGACCAAGATTGTTTTCCCCCATCTGAACCTTTGTGGTAATAGTCCTTATGTAACATCCTCTCTGACGAGAAGATAGGTCTGTCTCTTATGAATATGCTTGTCCTTGCGTCAAGTGTATATTTCGCACATATGACATGTTATTGAAAATTTTTTGCTTTTGCACTACGCACAAATCTTCTGTCAATACAGGCTTTGCAGAGCAGGTAATGCCTAACTTACGTATCTTATGCTACAACTGCAGCTTAGTCACTTGAACGGTCGTAAGCTTGACCAAAGTCAAAGTCACATTGCGACTGACGGTCGGTCAGTCAGTAAATCTTGGTTCCGAGCGTCATCTGGAGCTCATGACCAGATATTTATTACTGTTTGACAGTTACGGTCTTTTTTCTGTGGGGCATCCTCTCTGACGAGAGGACGAGTCTGTCTTTTGAAAATGCTGCTGGTCCTTGCCAGTGCAGTCTTTCTCGGGTCTGAGTCCCTTGTGACTCGCGACCATATTTTACTGTCTCAGATTTGAGACTTCCCTTTTCGTCGCCTCCTACAATTCGCAGGGTAACGGTGGAGGTATTCGAGCCCGCCTCCACACGGGTGTCCTAAGCTTGACCACTGCCTCTAGTCCTACTTATATAGCCCCGACACGGATCGCACAGGAAACATGTCCATCGTTGGGTGTTATCCCGTTGCCGAGGAAACAACGTGACCACGGAGCTGTTTCCTAGCAACGGTTATTGTATTGTCGCCTGTTTACACAGCCTTACTTGGCAATGGGTCTACATGTCACAATACGGCGGCGAAATATCTGATTTCATATAGCGAAATATTTCTTGAATTTGTGGTTGGCTCTTAGTTTCTGAAGGAGGGGCATATCTCGTGGTGCTTATTAGTTCATTTATTATATTCATAAGCCTCTTCATTGGGAATGTGCTAAATTATTTCCGTTTTAATTTGCATCTTTGGGAGCCGGCATAGCTGAATCGGTATAGCGACTGGCTACGGGCTGTAGTTCGAGTCCGGGTAGGGTCAGGAATTTTCTGTTCTCCACGTCGTCCAGACAGGCTCTGGAGTCCACCCAGCCTCCTATCCAATGGGTACCGGGGGCTGGTTCCCCGGTGTTAAAGCGGCTGGGGCATGAAGCTGATCACTCACCTCCAGCTAGTGTCGATGTCAAGAAAATGTGGATCTATACGAGTATATCCACTCCCCCATACGCCTTCACGGTGTAGGGCTTACTTAGTTAAACACAGGGACCTTTATCCTTAGAAGCATAGTGCTCCCATGAGAGATTATATTCAGTAAAATAATAAAGCGTTGCTATAATTTGCTGATAACGAATTAGCGAGGAGCTATGTTTGCCAGATAAGATATCGTGAAGTGACGCATGCGCAGTTGTACGCTGTAAGAAACCCAATCTATACCTACTGCAACAGATTCTCCTGTCTCACACCTATCCAATGTGTAACTGTGTTTCCTTCCCCATGGATAAAAATGCCGAGGCGTGAAGCTGACCACTCACCTCCATCTAGTGTCAAAGTCAAGAATAATGGAGGTATACCTCCTTTTCCCCACACGTCTGCCTGTAGTGGTATTTAATTTAATAAGCACAGTGACAACTTTGTCTCTTATCCGTATTCTTCTAATAGAGTTTTAGACTCACAGCGGTGGTTATGAAGAGTTCTAACCTCTGGGATATAAGACCATGTAGTCCGGTAAAAATTCAACAGACGTTTGCTTACTGCCTCTTTCACGCGGGTTACTTGTTGGCTTATTTTTCGACCCTGTAAATGGAAGCGGTATGTTCCTCCCAAACGTCTGTTGACTTTCAAAGGACTACACGTCGTTATATTCCAAAAGATAACCCCTTCTTACATCTTCTTTGTTTGGTGATTTCTAGGCAAACACATGCAATTCAATGCCTAAACCGATGATACTGTTAAGATTTGTTCACAGTGCGACAGTGGGAAGGCACAAAGCTGAAGAATGCGTGATTTCACTTCCTTTAGTTGCTACAACATTGCTTCCCAACGTATTTTGTCCACTACACAAAATTTGAAATGACTTTCAACTTGCGCCCCAAATAGTACATGTGCGTCCATAGTGCCACAGGAAATCGCTGTAGATTTACAACATAATATTAAATATATTTGTATGTGTATTTTATACACTTACTACGCCTGCAACTGCAATTATTTTAGGCTAAATTTCGCTTGATTATTTTTGCAGCTTGTCACCGATAATAAGGCCCTTGCGAACCAAGTACGGGTCGCGACCCTCTAGTTGCGAACCCCTATTGTACTACCTTATTCTATAGATAAGTAAGAATATTTTATTTTTTTTACTATGCGTTCTTATGTTCTTTTATTGCTAGTGGGGTGGGACTAAGTCCCTTGTACTGCGGCCACTTCTGGCCTGCTGTACCAGCCCCAGATGATAGGTGAGGGTGATTGTGGAGCAATTGGTGGAATGAAGATTGGCAGGGAAACCGAAGTACTCGGAGAAAACCTGCCCCAGCACTACTTTGTCCACCACAAATCCCACTTGACCAGACCCGGGATTGAACCCGGGCCGCCGCAATGGGAAGCCAGCGACTAACCGCTTGAGCTATGGCGCGGCCCATGCGTTCTTATGTTAGTCACGAGGTTAATGCACCTCTCTTATTGTCTGTATTGCTTATGAGGTTCATTAAAGATACACGCAACATTAGAATACATACGTATTTATAACCGAGTAGGCTATCACAGCGTTAATTCTATAAGTTTCTATTTAACTTCGATTCTAATAAAAGAAGTTTGATCTAATTACGGATAAAATAAAGATTTTTATTTTTCAAAATAGAATGTGCAACAAATCAGGCAAACGGACTAACACGAATGTTTCGTAGTTCGAGACGATAACGTCTCAGCAACAACAACACCGCCGCACCGACCTCACAGTCCAATAAAACCAGAGACAACATTCTTATAAGGAGATACATAACACACTAAGAAGAACTAAATTAGAACGAACAACGTACCTGAGAAAAATATATACATATATATATATTCTTATTTTAATTTTAATACTTTTAGCTTTAATTTGACATTTAACTGGATTCGTAATGATTCAACCATTCTCAGGCCAATTGCTTTTCTCGCAGTACATAATCCTGAGTGTCTTGTTACAAGTGTGATATTGTATAGTGTACAGATATCATGGGTCCACACTGGGTACAAATACAACAACTTAACAGTAACCCACTCCTGATGATGACCCAATAATGGTCGAAAGATGTCATGCCTTTAAGATTTATGACTTCAATGTTGATATTCATTTGTGTGTTTCTTAAAGAATTATTGTGTTGAAGGAAGCAATAAATATTTTATTTTCGTATGCGTTCTCATTATAAATCTTATGTTACAGTCTTATGTACAACTATTTATTACTTTAAAGTTTAGAAATTTTAAACTTTTAATTTAATAAATATTTGCACGTAAGATTTTAAATTAAGATTTATTATAAAAATTGAAGATTTCAACAAGATGCTACAATACAATATTATTTCGTATGTATATTTAGGTGTATTGTGTGCAACTCATCTGAGTTCCAATCAAATCCCCACAGCCCTTCATTTTTATTACTTCCTCAAGCCTCATGTTTGCCATAACCTGTATTCGTGTTTTTTCAAGAAAACAAATGCATTCGTAACGTTGTAAGGGACTTGTATTGCAGAAATCAGGGATATATAAAATTATGAGGGTTGTGCCTGTTTTGCTTGCGTGCCAGTGGGATAGTAAATGCTAGAAATAGCCTTCAGTACATTGGATATTTTCTATATATTTTGAATAATTAAATCTGGAGATGCAAGTTCTTATTGTGTCGATTTTATTGATGTTTGCTCAAGTCGAATATCACTGCTGCCTTGGCATTTGTCTCCATTTCAGCGTTTCTTACTGAGCATGAAGCGCTCCACTCGGTTAAATGATGAAATAATACTGAAACAAACGAATAAACAATTTTAAGCGATACTTGTTTTTCTTGTTCGATATGGGAGCGATATTGATCGAGAGTGTTCGAGAACCGTTGGAACAAAGAAGAAGGAATTCACAGGACGTTAAAAATATTATACAGGTCCAGAAAACTAGATTCATACTGAGCGGGTTGGCTGAGCGGTAATATTCTGGACTCATATTTTGGAGGTGTTCGCTTGGAATGTCGGTAGACACACGGGCTATTCTGACTGACGATTTTCGTGATCCTCCCTCCTCCTCTCCCTCGCTTTACCTCAGGAAAATTTAAGGATAATACATCGATTATGTCGCAACAGATTCCTTCCAGATATTTCCAATTCATTACTCATCAGTCATGCTACGGTTTAAGACTGTAGAGTCAAAATGAGCTGAGAGAGGCGAGATGGGGCCCAGAGCGGTCACAAATGTGGGCCCCCCACTTCCCTCCCATAGCCGTATAAATATATTTATGTGTTTGATAAATAATTTTAATAAATTAGACTCTTTATAATTTATTAAAATAAATTTATTTATATAATGATGGCCTCTATGATCTAGTTGTCAGAGTTCCTGTACAGCACAAGAGGTCCCGGGTTCGATTGCCGGCGCTACCAGATTTTCTGAGGAGTAGTGGGTGAAGAACGGGGTCCACTCAACCTCGTGAGGATAATTGAGGAGCTACTTGAATTGAAAAGAAGCGGCTCTGGTCTAGAGAACCGAGATTAACGGCCGTGGGAATCCGTTGCGCCGACCCCGCGACACCCTCTATCCGCGTTTTATCTCAAATAAAAGTGTCAATGACTTTGACTTACTTCGGGATCTGCTTTGTAAAGACACTTGTTGAGTTCGAAGGCCGTGGCTGCAGCGCTGTTCTCTCCTGAAAAGAAAAGGAACATAATTAATCGTCAGCTTAATTAATCATTTGACACCTGAAGCCTAAGAGAGATATAAAAAGGAATGGCAGAAGAGTAAGTCAAAAGGGAAGGTCATGGGAGAATTGAGACACAATTAATTTTGGGGGGAGGGGTGAAGGGAATCGTTTCAATGTTAATTCAGTATTTGGATGATTAGATCGTCTGGCTTTGGTCAACGTTTCCGACGTTTCGGATGTATATAATTCCTCCACTTTCTGGGTCGAATTGGATAAGGCGGGGAATTTCTCTACGTATATGTGTTTAGTGGCTACGTAGTATTGACGCGGGCACTGTTGATCTTCGATCCTAGAGAAGTAGGCAGCATATACCTCCGAAACGTCGTTAAAATTGCACATATTTTAGACGGTGTGACCTCCAAAGAACTGGATTAAATTCAATATTCGTTAATATTCACGGCACGCCGTTGCTCAGTTAGTTGAGGCACTATGCTTCAAGCCAGAAAGTCGCGGGTTCGATCCCCGATTAGGTCATTGGATTTTACAGTTTACCTAATTCTTCCAGCAGCACTATGGCCCTGGGGGTACACTCAGACTCTAACAGAAATGAGTACCAGGAATCTTTCTGGGGGTAAAGGACAGCTAGCCTGTAAGGCTGACAACCTCACCGCCATCTGTGAGCCGATTGTCTATAAAATGCGGGAGCCTCGACGTCTCACAACCCTACGGGCCTCCACGGCTTGCTACAGGGATAGTTTTCTCTTTTTATCTTTACCACAGGAGAGTTTCCCAGGCTTTGCTCTCTCGTCTATCCCATAAGCGCAGTATGAAAGTGAAGATGTTAGAAATAGTGACTTGAGACAGGGGCCGCGGTATTTTGATTTTTCTTTCAATGGCGAATTATATATAATGGAAAGACATGATACCTGAAATTTATCTGAATATTGTTTAATAATTCTACTTCTACCATACAGAAAATACACTGCATCACCATTAGGAAGATCAGTCGGCTGTTTTGGGAAATAATATGTGTTTATTTTGAGAATTTTATCGAACAAATAAATACGCTCTATAGTAAAAAGAAAAGTAAAGCTATCCCTGTAACAGACCGTGAAGGCCCATAGGGTTGAGCCTCCCACATTTTCTAGACAATCGGCTCAAAGATGGCGGAAAGGTTGTCAGCCTTACGCGGCGGCCGCGCTTTACTCCCCAGGAAAATTATTTAATTAATTCCTGGTACTCATTTCTGTTAGAGGCTGAGTCGACCCCAGAGCCATAGTGCGGCTGGAAGGATTAGGTCAATTGATAAAAATCCAATGCCCTCATCGGGACTTGAACCCGCGACCTTTGGCTTATACGCTCTATAGTTCTATGATAAAATCACGCGGTACTTATAATAACTTCTATATTTTGAATGATTAATCACTGATTGTTTCATAACAACATACTGTAGTTTCTGTCCCACAAATATTTCGGTGAACGAAATTAAAGATCGTGTAAAGGTTCTGGTCTAAATCAGCTTCCACAGTGACATCTAAGTAATGAAGGAGAATACATAGTATTGTATTTCAGCATCCAGTTGCATTATTTTACTTATGCACATTTATACTGTACATATCTACTTACTTAGACTGATGTACAGTCCGTACTCCTAGCCCTGTCCGTTGTCATCAAAATGCGCAGTGAATTTGGTCGAGTCCACTAAGTGGGGTACAGATAGAGTGTGTAAGGGTTACAGAGGGGCCTTTGTTACAGCGCACAATTCCCCATCCCTCCTAGAATGCAGTTGCAAGCACTGCCCCTCTACTTCTTACCATAATTCTCATTTCTCGTAATGCGCAGTTCAGTGGCCAGGACTAACAAGACAGACTGTAGTATACACGTTTACTTACGGATGTGCCTGCACTTGTCTATCATTTTCCCTGCTCGCTCCTGGAACTGGTCAGGCAACATCCCGAGCAACGTGTCGTAATCGGCTTCTCCGTCTTCACTTAGCTAACAAGAAGAGAACATTTGATTGATATTTAGTGTGTTTCAATGTCCTGTGTTCAAGAATCTGCTCTGAAATGAAGCGTCTCTCTTTGTAGGTTAATTTTGTCATTCGTTTTATTTCTACGATCTCATGTCATTCTTATTTCTTGGATCTGTCTTGCAGTCTGAATACTTACCGCCCCAGTCTGTTGGAAGGCACAACCCAGGTACTCCTGAAACACGAAAACAAATATTATTAACTTTCATTCTGAATTTTGGTAAAAGTTCACAAGGAACTATTTTCGGGTAATCAATGCGAATCTGAATTCTCGTCCAGACACGAGCAATGCGAATTCAGACAACCGACCGACCGTTCACCATGCGGTCCGTGCTCTGCGCTTCACACTGCCCCTGTCAGAAGGACGAGCGGGCGAAACCTCGGAACCAGGTTCTGGATAACTTAATTCATTAAGCTGACGCACCAGGTCTTTGGCTCTGTATGCCCCCCCCCTCCCCAAGTTCTCTCTCTCTCTCTCTCTCTCTCATTCCTGTCGCGTGCGAACACAACACTCGCAGAGAGAGAGAGAGACTGATGTCCATACTAGCACGGCTGATTGCCTGAGAGGACTGTACTCTCCTGTGCTCTTCATTGTTGAGGACTTGGGGGCGGGGGGAGGAGGTTCAATAATGCATACAACACTCAAATCTGCAGAACGAAAACATCGCATTATTAGTCAAAAGTTTACTCGTATAATTTCATAAATAAATACAAACCACTGCGTCCAATGTGACATGTAAGTTTTTGCTAAGTTAAAACATTGGACGGAGTGGTTTGTATTTATAATTGCTAGTGTGACGGACTAGAATGAAACAAATCAAATTTATAATTCCAGTTTTACTGCTGCTATTTACACTTTTGTGCTGCAATTAATTCAGTACTTGGTAAAAAAATAGCCTGGGATAGGACAATTGGCGTATCGGCGAGCTACGGACTAGATGAACGGGGTTTGATTCCAGGCACAGATAAGTTTTTTCCCCCTTCATAGAGTCCATACGTCTCTCTGGGGCCCAATCGGCCCCCTATACAATGGTTACCGGGATCCGGGAAGTGAAACCTCATTCTAGTATCGAGGTAAATAACAGTGGAGCTATACCTCCACTCCACGTTATGTCTTCATGGCGTTGTAATTTTTAATTAAGCCAAGAGATAACTTTAACTTTATTTAATAAATAACTACCCAGCGTGTTAACTTATACTTGCCTTAGCATAATGCGATATAGCGCTACTGTAATTAACATTGCCAGTCTTAATTTCACTAATTGACATTGGAATTAGTCACAGGGTACCTTGAGCTTGTCGTCTTCAGAGAAATCTCCATGCCTGGCTTTGTCAATAAGACCTGGAAATAAAGGCCTCACAATTAGCATGGTCACAATACTGACTTGTTGGCTTATCATGACGGCTGCGAAACGTCCACTCCATACGGTGGCATTATCTAAATTCACACATGTTAAAAACAGCGGGATCGAAGTTAAAATAGCACACGGTAATAATCACAGATGAGGTAAATTTACAAAGAAATTTTGTCAGATGTTTGAGACGTTTATTTTAAAATTTCACCAGGAATAATATGAAAAGTTTCGAAATAATAAATATTAATTATCTTAACGGTCACGACGAAAATCAATGAAAGAAAAATAAAAGCAACTCATTCGGCAGCACGACCCAGCGATCTATAGAAAATCTATGGCACAGGTTAAGAACCTATATGCAGAACAATTACACTAACACAGTGGTTACAACATTAAATACACGCCGTACCGTAATTGGTTGAGACACTATGCTACAAGCCGGAAGGTCGGGGGTTCGATTTCCGATCACGTTATTGGATTCCTCAATTGACCTAAGCCTTCCAGCAGCACTATGGCCCTGGGGTCTACTCAGCCTCTAACAGAAATGAGTACCAGGAATCTGACTTAGGGGTAAAGGGCGGCCGGAGTGTAAGGCTGATAGTCTCACCGCCATCTGTAAGCCTCGACGTCTCATAACTTTGTCGACCTCCATGGCCTGTTACAGGGATAGCTTTACATTATCTTTTTACGGCATTTTGAGAGAACTACAAATTCTGTTGATTTAACGCCGTCAGTTGATGTAAGTACATTGAACGGCCGCGCCATAGCTCAAGCGGTTAGCCGCTGGCTTCGCACCGCAGCGGCCCGGGTTCGATCCCGGTTCTAGTCAAGTGGGATTTGTGGTGGACAAAGTGGCGCTGGGGCAGGTTTTCTCCGAGTACTTCGGTTTCCCCTGCCAATCTTCATCCCACCAATTGCTCCACAATCACCCTCACCTATCATCTGTGGCTGGTACAATAGGCCAGAAGTGGCCACAGTACAAGGGACTTAGTCCCACCCCACTAGCAATAAAAAAAAGTACAATGAAATTACAGGCATTAGTACGTACCCTCGTCCACCCCAGTTTGCTCCACGCACGTGTTGTGTAGCATCTGCAGCATTTCCCTAGTATCTGCGTCCAGTTCTGCCAACTGCAAATATACAGAGAATTCCAAACATAGACTTACTCATTTCCCAGACATTAATTTCGCTCCTTACCAGATTGACAAATAATTGACAAATATAGGTAATCCTTTAAGAGCGAAGTGTGGAAAACTGTAGCTTAGTGCATGCGTCATCTCCTTGCAATTCATTTTACTACGCACTTGAGCCATATTGTGAAGCAATTATGTGTAACACAATTCAAGTTCTTATGGGGCTTATATACATGTTATTTGCCCATGAAATCTTCAGGTATTTGATTTGGCACTGCATTATTTAAAGCTTTGCTCTTTTGGGATAACTATCTTTGTGCCTAAGATCACGTCATGGAGGTAATCCTCCGTGCATTATTAACCTCAGACGTTTAATATAAGAGGTGACATTTCATATTCTGTCCGCCTCTCTGTGAGAGAATGGAAGATGTACGCGAGAAACTAGAAACTGATATGGCCCCAGAGATGTTCCTGTCTTTACAGACAGGCGTACTAACTCGATACCTTACAGGAAAATGATCTTCGAGATATACAGAGTGTCCCAGGAAGACAGGTCAGTGACGGTCATTCTAAGCAAGACAGTGTATATGTACATGTGTCCTATTCCGAACGGTTTCCGAGATACAGCTATTTGACTGTACACTGTACAGACGAGCAACAAGCCATGTCCTCACATGAGTTGCAAAGTGCATTGATGTTGACGGTGGAACTTTCGAAAATGCATTATACTAGTTAAACTGTACCAACTTTGTCACTTGAACAATAAATACCAGTAATAGAAACAGTACGTAATATCTCTTTCTTACCAACAATTTTGGAAATGTACAGTGAAACAGCTCTATCTCGGAAACCGTTCGGAATAGGACACATGGACATAAAGTTTTCTGCTTAGAATGACCGATACTATGGCCTCCCAGAATACTGACATTTCCTCCTGGGACACGCTGTATAGTTTGGAGTTCATGAAGCCACATTGACCCGCAAAGATTATCTATGTCGAATGGCAATAAGTTTTGAAGTTATATCTGACAGATATAATGCGATTGACTCCTGAATTATTGGAAATATAGAGAGACATGTACAGTTAAACCATATTTAATTTATAGTTCTTGTTTTAAGGTAAAAATAAAATTGTCTTTTTGCTTTATTAAGCATCATGCCACAAAGATGTACCGAAAATGGAGGTATAGCTACACATATTCTAAACTTCAGTGCTAAATAGAGGCGAGGGTTCATCTTTGTTATCGGTGAAAGGGCTAGGCTAGGTTAGGTGGTCCCTGGAACCCTTCTGAACGCTGTGGGCTAGACACATGACTCTTACCCTTTCGGGAAACGAACACCGATTTCTTGGCTTGTTCGTCCCGTAGCATATTCACTATACAGACTTAGTATTCAATTGTGTTTTGTCTAGAAGCGAATACTTGTATAGGCAGGAATATATCTGAAAAGAAGAATATTCTATTATAATCAGGTTTCTATTTTATTTCTCCCAATCACTCACCCTGGAGTCCGCAACCGCGACACCAGCGCAAAGTAGTGCAATGGCTGCAGGTAGTAGTAGCATGGTGTTGCCTACATGCAAGGCGTCTGGCGTCTTGCTCCATATTTTGCTTCTCATATACCTTCAGGTGAAGGGCCATTGTCATTACACGCAGGAAACGCCTGTAACAGACACGGGAAATGCCTCGAGCTCTATTACTGGTTTCGAAGGAAGGGAAACATAAGATTTTCTCATTAATTATACTCCATAGTGTCATGCCATCCTCATAATCACCCGAAAAAAAGAAAGAAAAACGTCCACTGTACCCTTCTAGATGACGTTAATTAGTTAAGCCTAAGTTTCTTCATGTGGAGCCGTGATAGCGCAGTCAGTATAGCTACAGGCTGGAAGGTTAGAGTGGTCGGAGTTCGAGTCCCGGTAGGAGAAAAAACTTCTTTCCTCCACGACATCCACACTGGTCTTCTGACCCACGCAGCCTCCTATCCAATGAGTACTTGAATCTCTTTCTGAGGTAAAGAGGCCGGAGCGTGAAGCTGATCACTCTTCTTCAACTAGTGTTGAGGCCAAGGATACTTGGATCTATACATCCACTCCCCCATACTCCTTCATGGTGTAGTACTTAATTAGTTAAGCACAGGGACAACTTTATTTTTATTATTATTATTAGTAGTAGTAGCAGTAGCAGCAGTAGTGCCAATCACAGTGGCCGCGCCGTCTAAGGTATGAACTGCCTTCGCTCGCTCGAACACTGGGATCGTGGCTTCGAATTCCGCTCCAGGCATGGATGTCTGTGTGTGTTTATTCTGTGTTTGTGTTGTTCTGTGTGTAACTAGCGGCCTTACTAGGTGCTGATCCCCCGTCCAAGGACTCCTACAGACTGTGTATAGGATTAAGGAACTGAAAAGGCGACCAAGACCGTTCTCTCCGTTCTGATTTCCAAACGTTTGAACTGTACCACATTTTCACAGGATCCACCAGTTTTCTTCGTGTTATGATGCCGTCATGCATTGTGTTAGAGATGCATCAATTATACTCGGTTTTGTCTGCGTTTACTTCTAGAACATCTTTCTTACTGGATTGTAATATAATTTGTTTTTTTATATACGATATTTATGTTTTTTTCCTCGTAAGTTAATATCATCAGCGTATTTCAAGAGCTGATATGTCTAATTCAATTTTGATTCCCGTGGATTTCATAGACATTCCCAACGGCTTATTCTAAAACAAAGTTCAAAAGCAATGGCGTTAAAGCATCTCCTAGTTGCAGGAAACTTCTTTTTCTGTTTCTTAAAATTATATGTTATTGAATGGAACCCTGACTTTTTGGAAGATGATTCATCCTACTATTACCTAATCAACATTCGAGGAACTGTTTTCACTCCCGATGTCATCAATGACATACCCGGCGATAATCTGGTCACTCATGCGCCCACTTCCGGCGAGTGTCATATACTCTGTGATTCCTAGCAAGTTGCATAACCAGCTTCCTGACGTGAGACGCGTCAGCTCCGATGATGCCGCACATTCGTCGCAGTTTCGGGACTAAAATAAGCCAATTGCAAGACCGTCATTTCTTTCGGAGGCATGAAACGTGACATTGCACGTGTATGAGTGCCCCCAAGAACTTTCTGTAAGGGGGAGCACCCCGAAAATTTCCTCACGAACTTATATTTGCTTCATTAACATTACTTACATTGATCACTATAGAATATATACATGATTTAAGATTAATTTGTTAAATTATTTTATGGGGCCGGGATAGCTCAGTCGGTACAACAACGTGCTGGATAGCCGGTGTTCAATCCCCTGCAGAGAAGAGAGAGATTTTCTATTCTGCACGCCGTCCAGACCGGCTCTGGGGTCCACCCAGCCTCCTGTCCAATGGCTACCGGGGATTCACCAGGGATAAACCGAGAGGGGCTTGAAACTGACCACTCGCTTCCATCTAGTGCCAAGATCAAGAATGGTGAAGCTATGACTTCACTCTCCCTTACTCTCAGTAGCATGGCACTTAATTTATTAAGCACAGGGACAACTTTACATTTTATATTTACCTTTTAAATTTTGATATTAATATCTTATATATTAATTTCCTTTTTAAATTTTGTGTTAAGTATTTAAACATTTTTATAACAGACGGTGCTGCTTCCAGTCGCTGACAAGCTCTTTAATTTTAAAGAAGTGGATACAAATTAAAAATTATATCGCAGGCAAATTATTTCAGTAGTTCCGCGGACCACAGCCCTCACGGGCCATAATTTTCCCATCCCTGCTACAAGATGATAGGTAGAAATAGCGTAAAATGGTTAAAGTGTGAATTTTCAAGCAAATTCTTTAGTTGCACCATTTTTGAAAATACGTCTTCCTCCTGGAACTAATCCTGATATGTCTCATGCGTTTAAAATTGTTCATTTATACGCAATGTTCAATGTCCACCGTGCGAAATTTAGCTGATAATCGTGGTAAGTTCTGCTTACTGAAACGTATCAAGAGAATTTGCTAAGACGTGATTTCAGAAGGTCGTTACGTAAGTGCGGATGTAGATTCTATGAAGACATATTAATTCCTAAAAGAAGCTTCTCTTAACAGCGAAGTTGTGTGCACAATAACTGTTATGTTCAACTATATTATAGGCTTGCAACAGGAAACCGCGGTTTACGAGCGAATTGCTTATCAATTACTAGTTTTCTGAATTTGACTTGGAAGAAGCCCAAGATTATAATGGTCACCACTCCAGTGGTCACGGCCAGAAAATATTATACATTAAATGTGGTTCTGTTCTGCGTCATATTGGCAGGACGCGAAGAAGTTAGACAGGATGTGCTATCAGCGTATTGGTAACCCTGCAAGTACTAGCTTTACTTCACTTAAATATCAGGTCACAATTTTATTGCCAGAATTGTTCTTATTTCTTGAGTATTTTTTTTTTATTGCTAGTGGGGTGGGACTAAGTCCCTTGTACGGAGGCAAATTCTGGCCTATTGTACCAGCCCCAGATGATAGGTGAGGGTGATTGTGGAGCAATTGGTGGAATGAAGATTGGCAGGGGAAACCGAAGTACTCGGAGAAAACTTGCCCCAGCGCCACTTTGTCCACCACAAATCCCACTTGACCAGACCCGGGATCGAACCTGGGACGCCGCGGTGGGAAGCCAGTGACTAACCGCTTGAGCTATGACGCGGCCATATTTCTTGAGTAAATCATATATAAAGACCCCATTAGAATTTTAAACGCGTGGGAGAAAATTTTCACACTGAATTCTTCTGCTCTACGTGGTTCAGAAACATACCAACAGATGTCACATTCATACAGTTGTAACACTTTTTCAAGGTCGAAATTCTCGATGCTTGGCACTTGTAGGTGTAACCGGCTCCTTCGTTCGAACGAATATCGCGAAGAGAAACAATTTTTATATCCTTTTGTTTGTTTATTTAACGATGATTTCAATACATGTACCACATATCGTCCAATGTATGGATGATGGATGAATTGAAAGGATTTGGAAGGAAGCGATAGTGACATTTGAAGTAATATCCAGAACTATATAGTTACAGAAGTAATATAGAGACTGAGAAAGCTCACGAAAGACTTCAGCAAGGATAAACTTTTTCCCGGCCGGGATTTGAACACAGAATCTTCTGAATGCTAATTTAGAAGGTTGCTGCTAAGCCACACCGTTCGGCCTTCTTGAATTCTAGACGCACATCATGGTTAATTGTACAAGTAAATGTGGGTTCTGTTCTCTGTTAGGCTGGTTACCGTGAGCAGAAACTCATATAAGCCACCTCGACTGCGTATAGAAGAAAGATGATCTTCAAAGCATCTTATGACTTGTATAATATGCAGAAGTTTACTTATTTATTTAGTTTCTTAATCGGCGTAACGTCCTTTGAAAATTCAACGTTAAATTTAATAATTTCTCATATAGGCTGTCGTATTGGTAAGTTACGTTAACTTCTGCCGCATTTCTTTCCAGTCGTACGTGTTATGGAATGATATTTCGAGGCCAACTTTTGAAGCCATCTACCACACATAACACGCATAAATAGTCGATCGTAAGCCTTTTCGTTTATACATAGTGCCCCAGGAGGAAGGTCATATTCTGGGAGGTCACAGTATCGGCCATTCTAAGCAAAAATGTGTATAAGTACATGTATCCTATTCCGAACGGTTTCCGAGATACAGCTAGTTCACTGTGGAGTTCCAAAATTCTTGATAAGAAATAGATATTACGTACTGTTTCTAACACCGGCATTTGTTGTTCAAGTGACGAAGATGGTACAGTTTACCTAGTGTAATAAATTTTCTGAAATTCTACCGTAAACTTCAGTACAGTTTGCAACTCGCGTGAGGATGTGGCATTTTGCTCCTCTGTATAGTGTATAATGTACTGTATCCGGAGGAAACCTGCTGTTTGATCCACCACAAATCCCACAACATCTTACAGGTGATCAATCCAAGATTACAGTCTTGGGAAGCCGGCGACTAACCGCCTGATTTATGGTACGATTATGTATTTTTTT